GGTAACAGGCCATGGAGGCCCACAGGGTTGTGAGATGTTGAGGTTCCCACATTTTCTAGACAATCGGCTCATAGATAGTGGTAAGGTTGTCAGCCTTACGCGCCGGCCGCCCTTTATCCCCAAGAATATTCCTGGTACTAATTTCTGTTAGAGGCTGAGTCGACCCAAGGGCCATGAGGATTAGGTAAATTGAAAAAAATCCAATGACCTCATTGGGATTTGATCCCGAGACCTTCCAGCTTGTAGCACCGCATCTCAACCATGCTACCACTTGTCCGCTATATATATATATATATATACAACAATAATTACAATACATAGACACTCACCCAGGGCCTGGGGTTTATGGCACTTGCACTATCGGCAGAAGATGGCAACACAGCAGTCCCATCACTCAACTGAAACTTGTCTAACAGTTTATTCTCTTCCTCCTCTTCCTCCCCCGCACTCCCCTCCTCCCCCTCATCCATGTCCTCCCATCCCTCCTCTTCACACTCCTCAGCATGACAGCTTCCATCATCTCCCTCCTCTGTGTCCAACAAGCACTTGTCCCCTGCCACTGATCCTTCGTTATCACCACACACAACCCTAGAGGGGCCAGCACTCTCTTTTCCTTCTGTAAGTGTATCTGACAACTCCAGGCACACAGTCTCTGTTGGACTGGGACTTGTACACTCAGTCTTATTGTTCGACGATGCATTCGCAGATGAGCATGATGCAGCCATTCTACATTAAATGGAATCCTGGTGGAAAACAGCACACACGTTGCTCACTGGGTACACAAGAACAACTTACTGTAACCTTGTTACTGACACATATAAATGAAACTATGAACAAATTTATTGACCCACAACATCACATCCCCAAGCCATTAGAAGCTGCACTCAACTATGCACTCACTTCACACAGCCTCACTAATTATGCCCTATTCCATTCATGGATAACGGTTCAGTATAAGAACCTAACAAACCATTCTAAATATATACGGGTTCTACTAGAGACTACAAATTTAAACAAAAGTTCTATAAATTTCAGAATCATGCCCATGTGCCTAAGTGAGAACACAAATGAATCTCGGATAATGAACCGAAAATACCTCGGAAAAAATCATTTTACACAGGCTTAACACATGCAAGTTACAGTCCACTAACGTAAAGAATATTGAAAATACTACGAAAGTCACTCTTAACGTGCACTAAGTAATAGAATTTGTTATTGTTACACTTTCATGGAATTCGAACGCTGATACTTACAAAATTTTTGTTCATGTCATATTTAAAAATTTTCTCTTACAGAGAAATAGACATGAACTGAAATTCCAACAATTATTTTACATACTGTGACAAAACTAAGCCCGTCTTCACCCTACTCCCGTTCGGCCGTGCCCAAGCCCGAGGATAGGGCAAAACATAGCTCAACCGATATTCTAGGTTGGATTATATTTCTCATTTCATATTACATACAAAGCAGCATTAAAATAAATTATACAGTATATTTAAAGATGTAAAGTGTGAGCCTACGAAACATAAAAATTTCGGGGCAAGTGAACGAAGATAAATTTACGAACCCTTTCCCTGATTAGGCAGCCATACTTCATGGTCAAATCATAGACACCGCCATCTATCGGTGGTAAATGAATGTTACTCCTTGCAGGGAAACACAAGCTTCTACAATCCTTTCCGCATTATGTCATGACAAAAGAGGAAAGAGAATGGCAGGGAAATTTAATTATATTGCAGGGAGAACGGGTTCCCATAGGGCAACGCGTGAAGCCAAGGACAATTGAATGGGAACGTTCCGCACTCAGAACCGCTCAGAACGAAACTCTTTACATGGTAGACCACAAGCGTGTGCGACAAACACAGTGTTGAAAAAATTCTTAAAGAAAATATAATGCTGAAGCCACATGCTCACACTGGTTCCTCGCCAACGGATTTTTCTACCCTGAAGATGGAGACGATACATTCCTCCTAAACGCTGGTTCACACAAGATCTACATGGTGCCACTTCCCAGAAGACGGCATTCTTCAACATTCTTTGTATTTTAGTTGCACCATGTTAGAGACCGAATTCTTCCATCTCGTATACGTATACAATATTTTTTTGCGTAGTTGGTCGCATTGATGGTAGTATCGTTCGCGTACTTGGTACTGACCCTTTCAAAAAATTTTATGTTAGAGGCCGTCAGCGACAAAGTTGGTGATTGCTACAGTTCATAACTCGAGTACATCCATTCCTTTTTGATCATGTTCTCTGCGGGATAGAGACTCGACCATCCATTCTCCGTCCTCTGTCATCATTTGCTCGGACCGCGACAAATGGCAGACCATTCTCTCGTCACTCGGCTCTGGGTACCAGGGGCTCTTTTCCCCGGGGGGTAAAGCGATCGGGGCGTGAAGCTAACCACTCACCTCCAGCTAGTGCCAAGTCAAGAAAATTAGGGTCTGTTCATTCCCATGAACTTATATGAAGTAGTGCTTAATTAAATTTTGCACAGGGGCTTCGCATCGAGACTGACTGTCCGACTGACCTAAGTATTAATGTGACTTTGGCTTTGACTTTGTCATTTACTCGACAATTTGTCGTTTGTTGATGGCACCAGTAAATGTCGCCTCGGCTAGGATTCCCTTGCCAGAGTGTTCTGGTGCTGTGACGCCGTGAAGTTTGACAGACAAATACCCCTTTATGTTGTGTTCCGTGCCTTGTAGGGTTCGTCGTTTTCACACATTGATTGAACTGACGGTCGCTTTTAGTCAAAAGTTTACAAATATCTGAGGGAAAATTCGGGAATTATGTTAGCGCTACTGCGACAGCCAGCTGTAACAGGTTAATGATGTGTTATTCCGTTTTATACGTCTTTTTTTTGCTCTCGTAATAGAATGTGTTTGTTGTGCCTGTGAATGAAAGACGTGAAATGGAAGGATAATGAGGTTAAATTATATTCGTATTTATTTTCTTCTTGTTTAAGAGGATTGGTTAGAAAATTAAAAAGTGTTGAACACAATTTTTGTTTTATAAACAACCTAGCGTAAGTACCTACGTCTTAAATATGTCCTAGTTAATTAACATAAAGACTTCATTCGTGGCGGTTGTAGGGTTTCGACAGTTATGTAAATGGTAATACGGTATATCGGCCTTTATTAAGAAAGTAAAGTTGAATGCAGTCTTAGAAGTAATGCAGTGATTGTTCGTGTAGGAAACAAAACAATGCCCAACGACAAATATACTTGAAACTGAGAAACATACGTTCATCGATGCCAAACTACTCGGGAACGACTCTACGGTACAGTGCTTGTAGTTAGAATTATGACTTGTGGAAAATAACGCCGTATAGTCCGTTGAAAATGAACCAGCGTTTCGGAGGAACATTTCTCCTTTTGTCTTCAGGGCCGAAGCATAAACTAATCAAGAAGTCAGCATGAAGCAGGTAGTATGCAGAGCTCTGCTAAAGAGGCGTGTTCCTCCGAAACGACGGCTGATTTTCTACGGACTACACGGAGTAACCCAGAAGTCAGAACTTTTCATATCCATCTCTGTGAGAATCTCGTATGGTACATAGTGTATGTATTGTTGTTTAATATGAATTTTATTATAATAGATGATTTACCGAACCTTACAGACATGTTCTTGAGTTTGGGTTTTATTCAAGATTATGAATGTTTTGTATAAACTGTTGTAATGTAATGAGGAGCTTGATAATGATCAAGTCAAGAAGAATGAGATGGGTAATGCATGTAGTATGAATGTGGGGAGAAGAGGAATGCATATAGGAGTTTGGTTGGAAATTCAGAAGGAAAGAGACCACTAGGAAGGCCAATACATAGGTATGTGCATAATATTAAAATGGATTTGAGAGAGGTAGGATGGGGTGGTATGGACTGGATTGTTGTGGTTTAGGATTAATGTCAAGTTGCAGTTATTTTATGGATTTATTTTAGAAATAGTGATTCCATTAGGTTATTAAATTCTTCCAGTTCTTCTGGCACTAGAAGATCAATAAATGAATACTCTATAAAAGAAATTAAGAATAATCTCAGTTATGAATATTGCGCTGACATATTTAATATAAATGAAGTTGTAAATATAATGTTCAACAATTTTTTAAACACATTCCTAAGAATATTTAATAATAGTTTTCCTTACAAAAAATTAATATTCACCCATACCAAACAACCCTGGCTAACAGCAGGTATAAAAACGTCTTGCATTCGTAAGAGAGCTATATTTGCTTAGTAGAAATTTGGATGATCCAGAATTAGCAAGATATTACAAGAATTATTGCAGAATCTTAACAGAGGTTACAAAGAAAGCAAAACAAAGTTATTATAATAAATTAATTTTAAATTCTGATAATATAATAAAAACTACTTGGAGTGTTATCAGAACTTTAACTAACACTAAATTGGAAAAAAATCCAATAGCAAGCATAAATATAGAAGGTAAATTATGTAATAATATACAAAAAATGGCTAGTTACGTTAATAACCATTTTATATCTCCACTACCACAAATAAAAAATAGTTCAACTAAAGACAGGAATGAAGCCCTAAAATTCCTTACTGCTATGTTTAAACACCCCTTTCCATATATATATATATATATATATATATGTCACCAGTAACTAACAAAGAAGTTAAAGATGTAGTGAAATCATTAAAATGGAAATATTCACATGGATATGATGAAATTGCGCAATATATCCTCAAAATAAGTTTACCATTCATATTAGCACCATTAACATATGTGTAATAAAGTACTGAGTCTCGGTGTCTTCCCCTCAAGATTAAAATATTCTCAAATAAATCCTGTTTTTAAAAAGGGTGATAGAACTGATATAGCAGATTATAGGCTGATATCTTTATTGACATCTTTTTGTAAGATTTTTGAAAGAATCATATATAATAGCTTACAACATCATCTGGACACTAATAATATATTGGCACATGAACAGCATGGTTTTCGAACTAAATTGTCCACTGAATCAGCCATTTATGACTTAATAAATACCACTCTAATAGCAACAAATAAAAAAACTTGTTGTGGGAGGCCTGTAAATCACACAATACTTCTTGCTAAGCTAGAGTTCTATGGTTTTCATGGTATAGCAGGAAAGTTAATTAAAACTTATTTGAGGGATAGACAGCAAAGAACAGTACTAAATAGCAATATTACAAGTGGTATTTCGGAGTGGCAAAGTGTAAAACAGGGCGTCCCTCAGGGCTCCGTTCTGGGCCATTGCCTTTCTTGATATATATTAATGATTTGCCAAATATAATAAATAAAGAATCAAAACCAATTTTATTCGCTGATGACACCAGAATACTGTGTTGCAAGTCAAATCTTAAAGAACTTGACATCGCCCTAAAAGAAACTCTTGAATCAATCAATAAATGGTTCTCTATAAACTAATTAATTTTGAATTTAACTAAAACAAGTTATGTCCAGTTTTTAACAAAACCAAATGCACTGATAAACTTAAAATATTAAACTTGGTGATATCCAAATTAATAATACGAATACTTTGAAATTCCTTGGACTGACAATTGATAGTACTTTAACATGGAAGGAACATATCAAACAAACAGCCATCAAATTGAGCTCAGCTTGTTATGCTATAAGAGTTCTAGTCTCAGCATTGTCCCTAGAGAGCTTGTTGATGATGTATAATACCTACGTTCATTTTATAATGTCATATGGCATAATATTCTGGGGAAATTCAATGTATAATATTTAAAATTCAAAAAAGAATAATTAGGGTAATAATGAAAGCAGGAAATAGGGACACTTGTCAGCCTCTGTTTAAAAAATTAAACATTCTTCCATTTTATTCACAGTATATATTTTCAGTATCGGTCTTCATGGTTAAAAACATGGAGAAGTATGTAACAAATTCAGATATTCATAACATTTATACGAGACAAAGATTTGAACTACATTATCCAACTTATAAATCAACCAGGGCTCAAAAGGGAGTATCTTACACTGGGATTAGAATATTTAAAAAATTAGCACATAGTATAAAAAATTTATTGCAAGATTTAAATAAATTCAAATATTTCCTTAAAATTTTTTTGCAGGTGGGCTCTTTTTATTCTCTAGATGTGTATTATGATTGGAAAACAAGGGATGATTGTGTTAATTACAGATAAATAAAACGACACCAGTCATTTTAAAACTTTTAATGTAGGATACCTATAATTCTTTAGATATGCTTTTTCTCTATTATAGACAGTGTTAATATGTATTTTATTATGATAATAAGTTGCAATGCAAGTGTTATATGCATGTTGTATTTAATTATAACATTTTATCAATATTTATTGCAACAATAGTTGTAAATATGTTGTAATATCTTTATGCCGTTGTCCTCTGGATTAATTTTATTGTAACCTGGGCTTTGACGTGTTCTATATCTGGAGGCGCCATCACCAAATGTAGATCTGATGAACAAAAATAAATTGAATTGAATTAGGGAGCAGTATTTTTCCTTCTCCCACCCTTCTGATAACTTTTCCCCCTTTCACCAACACTTACTCTCCATAACCCTCACTCATGTAGCTGCATTTCAACATGAAATTTTACCAGCGTACTGATATATTTATAATTGGGAAATGACATGAAGTCACCATCACATCTACTTTGAAAATAAATGCACAGAGTAATAAAGTCAGTGAAATTATGTTTAAACTAAAATACATACAGTGGAAGATCATAACTAAATGCAGATTTTCACTTGTAGCAGTTATAATCTGAACTAAAGTACAACTGTTTTCATATTAGTTTGCATATCATAATACATTGTACTATACTCAGCATACAACCATCCAGTTACAACAGTTACCAATTACAATCCAATTTTTGAGTGCTGAATATAGTAAAATGCAACTTGCTGAAGAACGTGAGCAAACAAACTTATCAAGAGTTGTGAGACAAAAAAAAATATGGTAATGGGTTCTGTGAGGCCAGAAGCCAAGAATCAGCATGCTGGTGATGGCCTGTAGCAAATTAACCAGACCACACCGTGACCACTGTTGGTGGTCAACCATCAAATATGTTGAGTGAATGTAAGGTTACTTACAGCTGGAAGAGCTTGATGCTAGTAATTGGAGTAAAACTGCAGAAGACATTTTGCTTGCCTCTAAGTTAACCTGACCTAGCCAAACAAAACCATTTGTAACTAAAAGTTAAAAAGGACAAGAAGGCTGCTATGAAATGTGGTGTTGTAGGAACCCAGACCATACTGTGTACTCTTGTAAGCTCTTTAGCCCCTCCAGTGATATTCCTTCACCCTGGACCTTTTTGGAAATACTGTTCGTACTTAGCATATCGTGGCCCAGCACAGTTGTGTGTCTGTATATCCCGATGTTTCTCCAGGCTGTATGACAGCTGTGGTATGCTGTAGCCTGGTAGCATCATACAGAATCAAGTAGGATTGAAATGACTGACAATAAAATGTATGTAAAATAACAGCAGTGGTGGTGGTGGAGTACTAGTAGTAGTATTAGTAGTAATGTGCTACATGCTTTGCCCATTTTTTGTCATCAAGTGGAATATACTGATGGAGAACCTTGTTACTGAATTGTCGTATTACCTTGTAGGTTACATTATTGAGAAAAAACCATTTCACTTTGTTTAATGGTGCATCATAAATAATTAAATGTGCTGTGATTAATTGTAATTTTATTATGGTCTAAGACTTGGGGTGTGGGGATTATTGTGAATTGTTGATTTGTTACTAAATACATCTTCAAGTTTCATGTAGGCTAGAGTGATGAAAATATTCAACATTAGGAAGTTAACCCTTTGCACTTCATGAGACAATTTGATTGGCTTTTACCTGTGTTAAAACACCCACAGCCAAAGACATTGATTCAGTGTTGATTCCTTAGTATACTATTTCTGTTAGTAGATGGCATTAAATGTGATATATCAATGTTTAGGGGAGAGATCAGGCTTTTATGTTATCTATACCTGTTGCTCTTTGAAGTTAATCTCATGAAGTATTGTGTTTTTTTTTCTGTACACTTGCATTTACCCCTAAGTAGTCTTCTTGTTCCTAGAAGGTAGTTCTTTGGTGTCTTTGCAGTGAAATGGCCAAAAATATAATTTAATGTGAGTAATTGCTTAGGTAAAGTGGGAGTTCACTTGTTCTTGGACATGAGTGTATTATCATTTCATGTAATATTAGATATATAATTATTATGAAAAGTCAATTTTGTAAGTAAAATATAGGGGTAAAAATGCACAAGAAATTGTTAACATTATTTGTATTGTGATTCTGCATAAAACTGGCCTTGAAAGTACAGTAAGTCTGGATATAAGTATCATTTTTCATGGCTTTATGGCTGCAGTAACATTGTTTTTAATGTTATGGAGAACATAGAATTTAGCACTTGACATTGCTGTGACTCTTGCAATGAGTTTTAACTGATAAATATGTTTAACATCTCTAGGAATGCAATGTCTGTTCCCAAGGATTGTCACTCATATGATCGGGACAGTAGTAGTGATACAGAGGATTACCACGATTCTGATGACAGGAGGAGAAGGGTCTATCATAAAAATAGGATGAGGTAAGGGAGACAAATAAAGCAACAGTTGGTCAGTCTTGTACTTTTGGGGGTAGTGGCCCATTCATGTTGTGTATTGGACCACTTCCCCTCTACTTGCAGGTGTCATGCATAGGATATTATTCCAACTTGTCATGTTACAGTTATGGATCATCATCAAAACCAAAGCCATGTTTAGTCCAGAGACAGGGTGGAGGTGTTCCAAATGATCAGCGACCGCACCTTGTAGCAACCCCTAAACAGTCGCTTAACATGGCCCCTAGAAACAGGCAAGTCTACTGTGTGAGATGCTGCATGGAATTTTCCTCTACTAGACCAGCAGTTATCATGCATCTTGTCTGTTGTAATGTAGGTCTCGTACACAGCACCACTCACTGGGGCCAGCAAAGAACCAGATGAACAGGGACACAGACTCTATCCAGGCTGCTACTTCATCTTCGAACTTGACCGTCACTCCTTTGAGTGATGAACGAATCACTCTAGTAGTAGACAACACACGATTCATCTTGGACCCTGCCTTGTTCACCGCGCACCCCAACACTATGCTTGGCAGGTGCGTTATTCAGCCACTGATGTGATGTGTGTTTGGTGCCTTATATATGCTGTCATCTCTTATTGAAGACTACTTTTTTTTATGGGATGTGACACCATGTAATTTTCTAGATCATTTTGCTGAAGATGTAGGCAACAGGCTTCTCCAAAACGTTGGTAATAGTCTACCAGAATACATGGTGTCACATCTCAGAAGACAATAATCTGTATAATCATCAGTGAGAATCTCAGATCTCATCAGTTACACGGTACAAATTTTTGTTTGCCTTGTTCAATGATGAAATGAACTGTTTTTAACCAAATCAGATGTGTTGATCACAAAATGGCACTCAGAGAGTTGTAACACATAGTTTTTTATGTTATTGTCTTTCTTTCTTTATTTTAATGCAAGGCATGTGAATATACATGCAACTTATTATGCAGTTAGAAATAATGATGTAGTGAAAATAATTAACTTCTGTTGACTAATAAAACATTCTCATTTTATGGTTGACAGAAGTTATACCAACACAAAAAAAAAAAGATAAAGCTATCCCTGTAACAGGCCATGGAGGCCCATAGTGTTGTGAGATGTCAATGTTTCCACATTTTCTAGACGGTTCACGGATGGCAGTGAGGTTGTCAGCCTTACTCACCTGCTGCTCACCCTTTACCCTCAGGAAATGTCCTGTTATTCATTTCTGTTAGAGGCTGGTTCAAATCCAAGGCCATAGTGTGGCTGGAAGGATTAGATCAATTGACAAAAACCAGTGACCTCATTGGGAATGAACCCGCCACCTTCTGGCATGTAGCATGTTGCATGAACCAACTAGGCTACAACATGCCCCTATTATGATAACACTAAGAAGAAAATATAAATGTGGGGGAAACAAAATGCTTGGTTTCGGCTCAAAATTCGAAACACAGAACCGTTAAACAATGGAAAGTTTTTATGTCAGTTTGGAATCAGCATATCAGAATTAATTTGAAAAGTTAGTTTTTATGTTCTCATAACATTGCTGACCAGTGTTGCTGTTTGCCTGTGTAGGATGTTCAGTTCTGGTATTGACTTCATGCATCCAAACGAACGTGGAGAATATGAAGTTGCTGACGGAATCTCTGCAACAGTGTTCCGCTCAATCCTGGAGTATTACAAAGGTGGCTTAATAAGATGCCCCCCTACAGTTTCCGTGCAGGAGTTGAGAGAGGCTTGCGACTACCTACTCGTTCCGTTTGATGCTCACACCGTCAGGTGCCAGAATCTCCGTAAGCACATTAGACACACTTATAAGAATGAAATATGTCACAGATAGAGGTGTTCTGTTCCAACGTAAAATCTGTACTCTACAGAATGTTGCTTCTGTGCCATCTGTGTCTTGTATGGTCTCATGAAGTTTTCTGCCTTTCACTAATTTAAGTTACTTCAGTAATGAATACTATGAACTTTGGAATAAAAACTTCAACATCAGGATCAGAAAACAATTGTATAGCTATAACAAGGTTTGAGAAAGGATGTGGTAGAGTTCATCATGACCTTTCCCAAGTATATCCTCATTTGTAAGCGCAGACAAACTTTACAGAGTCTGTTAAATCTTTTATACCAGAGCATTTGCGTTTTGTAAGATTGGTTGCTTGAAATAAACCCTTCCCTGAATAGACTGTAAAATTTTGCATGCATGTTATTGAATGGATGTTACCAGCCATCCTCAGATGTGTGCATTCAGAACATGGGCGGATGCATTGAGCAGTTCAGTATCTTCTAGCAGTATATAAACTTTTCTCTTTAGTTTTGCATTGGAGTTATTGTGAAATTCCTCATAAAAAACCCCATTACTTCTAGTACATATTGTAACGTGTTTCGTTACTGAAGACGCCGTTCAGATTGTTAATTGGTTTATTTAACAACCTACAAGTAATGGCTACAATTAATTATAACAATGTTATGGGTTTCCACACTTTACAAACCCTACAACCAAATCTCTTCACACTATCACGATTCACTCGTTACAACTGAAACGGTGACTACTACAATTCAACTCACTCCTTACTGCTCACTGCTGGCTAAATTCCAACTCAACTTGTAGGCTGCTGCCTTGAGAACTCACTTTGGCAACTGATACACTTAACTGACTCCGTAGGCAGTGTAGGTCTCTTATAAACCCTCAGTCGGACAACGGGAAAGTGGTTACGTAATAGGCACCACTGTTGTCTGACGCCGTGTTTGCCTGTTACGTAATGGGTACCGCTGTTATTACCGTCGTCTCTCGCAACGGCTGTTTACTTGCTTCGCTTAGCAACCAGCATGCTGGGACTCGGCTCACTTCGGCTCCTCTCAGCACGTCACGGCTGGTGGGGAGGGAGGGGCGCCATCCATAGCGCAACATGTCACAATATTTATTTTACTATTAAATTTCCATGATTCAGGCTTTCAGAATTGGGCCCATGTTAATGGGATAAGTTTTACTCAAAATTGCTTGACTACTGTACCAACGGTATTTGGAAGACTCCCCCCGAATATCCTTGTTTGGTCCTGATTGATATCATTAATTATGACAGTTCTAGTTGCAGTGAAATCCTGATTCATTCAGTATTTTTTCTGGTCCCAATCAAGCCAAATATAAAGGACTGTATAATTTTTCCCTATGTAGTTATTTTGATTTAGTATGTGACCCATATTTAGTATAAGAAATTCTTGACTTTCTGGGGTTTGTAGCTGAGTTTAGTGCTGTTCTGGTTGAAACAGTATTTATGTTTTCTGCATGCCTGAAATCACTATTTAATGAGTGATGTGACATATTAAACATGCACTTGAGCCACACTGCTTGAGGCATTATAGTTGATTTTATTTTCACAGTACACTGTATGCCTTACAGGTACAATGGAGTCAGATGTAAAATACTTATACAGGGTGGGATGTTGCAGGAGGTTTGCTGCACGAGCTGTCCAATGAAGGGGCACGCTGTCAGTTTGAAGTGTTCCTCGAAGAGCTGATCCTTCCTCTGATGGTGAACTCGGCGCAGCGTGGTGACCGTGAATGCCACGTTGTTGTTCTGTTGGATGACGATGTAGTAGACTGGGATGAGGAGTACCCACCACAGATGGGGGAGGAATACTCACAAAGTGAGTATCAGTTTTATTGTTATCTAGTTCAGAAATGAAATTACAGTTTCTGTGACTTTAAACTTAATTATGAAAAAAAATTTCTGTAGGACACATCCCATCATGGGAGTGGTAATATAGGGCTTGTGTCAGTTGAATTATGGGCTATGGACGCAGTTTCAGAAAAACACTCTGTAGTTCCCTCTAACATATAAATATAGTATTGTATCTGATAAATGAATCTATGAAGTACAGAACAAGGAAGTGCTGTACCTGGTATCCACTCCCACCGTACCAGCTTTTATATGCTTGCAAAGGTGAAGGTAAATTTGTCCCTGTGCTTGACTAATGAAGCACTACGCCATGAAGATGTATGGGGGAGTGGATATATAGATCCAAGTGTTCCTGACCCTGGCACTAGTTGGAGGTGAGTGGTCATCTTCACACCCCTGCCGCTTTATCCCTGTGGAAAGAGCCCCCATTACCCATTGGATTTGAGGATGAGTGGGCCCCAGAACTGGTCTGAATGACGAGAGGAGGAGAAATATCTTGCCCTTACTGGGATTTGAACTCGAACGCCTTGACCATCCAGCCCATAGCCAGTCACTGTACTGACGGCACTGTCCCAACTTTCTTGATACACTTGTGTACAACTATTCTTTGCATAAATTGACAGTGTCCTTCTGAAGATGTTTGCTACGACTGAAACATGTAGATGAACGATAAAAAAAAACAATATTTATCAATCACACTGGATGACATTAATAATCTTTTATACTATTGCTAGTGTGATGGACCAGGATGAACCAAGTGAAATTGATCTTTGCATAGCGAACATAAAGCAGTAACCTAGAGGTACACTGAAAGAATATGTTTGCAGTGTTTCAGGAGGCTGTATTTAAAGTATGTTTATGTTAATTTTCAGCTGTTAACAGCACTGCAATGTATAGATTTTTTAAGTACATAGAAAATCGTGATGTGGCTAAACAAGTTATGAAGGAACGTGGATTGAAGAAGATTCGTCTTGGAATAGAAGGGTATCCTACTTACAAAGAGAAGATTAAAAAGAGGGCTGGTGGACGAGAGGAGGTGATCTACAACTATGTGCAGAGGCCATTCATACATATGTCATGGGAGAAAGAGGAGGCTAAGAGCAGACATGTTGATTTTCAGGTACGTTCAGCTATGGCAAGTAAAGATATCACATTTACCTGATACAAAGGTGATTCTCTGAGGTCAGGTATTAAGTTTTAGAAGGGGGTGGGGGAGTCTTCAGGCATTTTCTTTCAGTTTCCTTGCGGTGTACTTGAACAATGATACTAGGGATTACCCCTTTGACTGCCAAATATTTTGTAAATCACTGAGTCGTCAGGACCGAAACATACAAATCCAAAGGTTTGCCACAAGATGGCAGAGAATATACAATTTGTACCGTCTGTCAATTTCAGACAGAATAAAATTGCGTAGGTTTCAGAACAGGAGTTATAATGTGCGCTTGCCTGGGACATCCCAGGCATAGCAGTGAAATGGTTAAGGTGTATCTGAAGGTGACAGTAATGCTCATATGCTTCCTTTCCTGATGCAGTGTGTCAAATCGAAGTCAGTGACGAACCTGGCAGAAGCAACGGCTGACCCAGTTCTCGAGCTCGATGCTAGAGGCAACCCCATTCCTGCTCCAGCAGTGCAGGGGACAGAGCATGAGGAGGGAGCTGTTGGAGGTATTCTTCCCCCACAACCCTCTGCAAATGAGCCATACCCAGAACTGCCTCTTCCACCCGAGGAGACGCCATAATGTTGATATGTATGAGGACCGATGTAGGTTTCATATTGTGTGTTTTAACATCCATCCATTCATGTTGACAGCTTAAAATTTGGCTTTTGTACTGAATGAGTATAAGCGCAGTATTTAAATGTGTTCTGTCTTCCATGTTCTTTATGTATCTTTATTTATGCTGAGAGGTTCAAGCAGAGGTTGGTTCTGCATAGAGGCGTGCAAGCTTGATAATTTTAAGTCTGAGCTGAGCCTTACAAAACTTATGAGCTCCAAACTTCAGCTCTGATCTTGAAATAAGAAGTCAGTAAGGTGAATTAAGTTTGGAAGTTCCATGGCTGATATTCATTTCAGCACAATTTTATCTAATGTGATACACTGATTCTCCTGAATAAGTTAGCACACTAACTGTATCAGTTGCTGCTCCTTTAACTGGTCTGCATGGCCACTGTTCATCCACTAAACTGTTATGATAATTTTTCAGCAGTTCACACTACTTACATTTTTTGATGATAACTGTCATATTGTGCAAGCATTTTGTGGAAGATTTCACCCGGTTTAATTCATTCTGACACGATAAATTGAATGACACATCAGTGTCCAACTGTGGTACAGTCTGAAAGGGGGGGGGTCTAACATTTTGGAAACGGCTGGTGACATTAGTGCCAACTTTGTACGGAGGCTTTTAATACTATAAGTTCATACATTCGGTAGTGAGTATAGGAAAAAGTACTCAAGTTGATACATGTGTGTACGTAAACTAAATTCTGCTTATTCATTGCATGAGTGACACATGGGGGGATCAGTAAGGAGTTTAATACTGTTCTTCTAAAGACCAACTGTCTAAGCTGTTCTGACCCATGGATATTCATACCGACTTCTTCATTTATGTTGAGAGTCGATACGTAATCAGATGGCAGATGATGTAATAACCAGTAGGTGTGAAAATCACTGATTTCTGGGATGTAATGCTCTGTAAACTGGCAGAAGTTCACAGACATTTCAGAGGCAATACATTAATATTGGTATTTGCCGCCTATCAGACTGTCATAACCCAAACGACTACATTATGTATTGCTGATGTTGATGGTACTTGCTCATGTATGAGCAGATGTGTTCGTACTGGCATAAAGAACTGCCACATAACCACAGACAAAAGTATTGTATGGGAAGAGTACAAGCACTGATCACTGAATTTGTTTACAGCAGATGACTGACAAATGAAAAGTATTTTATCTTACACTATGTAGACATCCTTATCGTCAAGTAAGTACTGAAATTCGTATTTCTTCTTGACAGTACCTTTGGACTTAACTGCAAGGCTTATCAGATCACAAAACAAGTAGAACGGATGTGATCGACTTTGAATTCAGCTAGAGTCAACCTAAATTTTGTATGCAGCGTATTTTGATTTTTATTAGTAAATGTTTATTTTAGTGCCTCTCATTCTTTTTCAAGTCATCTTGTTCTGTTTCCAGAAACTTCTTTTAAATATTTAGCAGCATGCAGTTATCTGTGTGATGTGTGGGTGAAAGCATTTTCACTTTCTATGCATTTAAATGGATGAAGGCCCATCAGAGTGAGTTAATAGCATCATACTGTCTAGCAACTATTATTAATATAAATAACATTCACTTAACACAGTTGCTTATGCTAAAAAAATTCACGCTGCAGATTTTAGTATCTGAACCATGCCAAAGTCACATACAATTTTTAAACCTCAGCTCACATTTTTGAGCTACTTGCACGCCTCAAGTTCTGCAGCTACTTTCCTTGTATCTGTTCACACTTTTTTACTGCCATCAAAATCCAGAGTTCTAAACAAAAGGCTGTATTTGCACAAAGTTGCGTGTGTTAATTTTTACTACTGTACTTTTTTTAATTGATAAAATGTCTCCTGTCTAGCCACTATTTTTGTACATGGTAGCATTTGTATTCAAGTTGCATGCAAAAAAAAACTCAGTTATTTGTGAAATTTATTGATAGCTTTATATACATATAATATTCCATCAATAAACGTGGGCAGCATTCCAGTCACAACCTGCAAAGAAAATTTAATAATGTACACTCTGCATTTCATAAAACAGAACACAACTGCATATTGTTACTTTCTCATATATGTAGCATGTTATGAGAAAATACTGTCATTATGAAAGAAATCATTTTTGAGATTTTGATGGATTTATGAGTCCCAGAATACAAAAAAAATTGGTTTGGGAATGCTGTATTTATGATTGTGCACCTCACCAGCGCCTAAACGATTAAGACAGATTTTATCGATACTCAGTATTTTAGAACTTAGCCGTCATATGTCGATGCCTGGTGAACATTGACATTCAGCTCCAAAAATAGCAGCCTTTCACAGAGGCTTCGAGTGAGTTTCAATTTTTTTAAGATGGCTCTAACAACTTTTGCTTAAATTTCAGTAATTTATGGAGATCATCTCCATACATTAAAACTTTACAGGCAGTATCTTCAACAAAATAATGCTACACATAATGGGGGCCTAAATGCAAAATGCCCATTTTACTGGTCAGAGGGACTTCACCATTGTTCAGAATTGATTAACCAACAGTGATCCACCAAGCACAGTTGATTTCAATTCCAAGGGAACATCATGGCCAGTCATATATGAGAAGGTATGTGTAATGTCTTTGTATGGACTTTTACGTTCATGAAACAGGACAGAAGGCTAAGCAGACAAGTGGGCCATCTCCCTACCAAGCTACATGGTGTTGAAATGCACCCTAGAATTTCAGTCAACATATTTCCCAAGCACCATACTTTTGATTCCAGTCTCAAATTTACTGGCAACTGTGGTGAGGCTCAATTGTCTTCCCTGACTAAACAGTTTCTTCCTCAGAGTGTGTGTTCAGTCTTCAGTTATGACAAAACGTAAGTCCTTGAATATATTGTTAATGGCACCCTATTTAACCATGCAGCTACACACCAATGNAGCCTGCCATTTGCTGATGACAGACAAAATACTATCACAATCTAAGAGTGAGAGAGTTTCTGACCATGTCTTGGAGACAGTGTTGATAATGGGTTAATGGATAAAGTTTTGTAATACAGTAAATTCGATCTATTTGTAGAACTCAACATTTTCACAAACACGGGACAGGTGTGAACCATGTAAGATTTGAGGTTCCCACGGAGGTCGATATCACTGTCTTCTGGGATGCGATGCCACTTAGTTTGGTACACTGGTATTTGTAATCATGCGTGAAGCAGGTTTTCATCCTTTTTCAATCTTTACCAGCCAGTGTGGTGGTTGAAATGGGTTTTCTAAAAGTATGAGGATGTGAGTAGTGGGAATGAAGAAGGAATCATATAGACACACTGATGACGTTACAAGTGTGAAAACACGAGTCTTCTTGTGAAATGTCTGTTGCCTATAAGAATGTAATTAAATGACAATACACAAACGAAACAGAAAACTGGAAACAAGTGGGTAACATTTAGGTCACTGTCTTCAGGATATTCAATTTGACAAGCAGTCTCTCACCTGGGAGTGCATGAGTGAAACAGTGCAAGCCACGTGCTTCCACTTGTTGAGCAGACGTGTTCAATTATTTACTTATAAATGTGAGAAGTGCAATTAAAAATTTACATTGTATTTATTAACAATAAACAAGAATGCAATTTTCTATTTGTTTTTTTTTATAAAAAGCCATTAAGCTGAGAAGTGTTTGTACATTTTTTTGTCAATAGGCATATGCTTCTGTTTTCTTGTATTCTCTGTGTTTTTGCACCATTTCCGCATCTTATCCCACCATTAGCCTGTACAATCTGGAGTTGACTGTAATGAAGAACTATGTGCTTGTCATGAATTCAGAAAGACACAACTGACATCATACACTTAGATTTCAACTGGTTGTCCTTGCACTTAATTAAGCACCATACTATGGAGATGTATTATGGGGGAGAGTAAGTATAGCTCTTGTGCATGCTTAAACTGAGCTCCACATAGAGGTGAGTTGTCAGCTTCATGCCTCAGAGGAAAAGCTCTCAGTATCCATTGGGTAGGATGTCAGGTGTAAGAGAAATGATCTTTGATTTTTCAGTTGTAAGGCCCACAGCCTCGTCACTGTAATGACTGAGGTATCCAGATTTAGTATTAAATTTTATTAGAAGCTAAATATAACAAGAAAATATTTTTAAGTTCAAATCTGGGGTTTCGAGTCTTGATTTTATGTCCACTGAGAGGAGCTCGGTAATGTGATGCCAATTCTAAAAAGACTTTGGGAATATTGTTTGTGAAATGTTTGCAGTTATATATGCATAAAATCAGAAAGCCAGTACACTGAAGGTGACCATTATCACTAAGGGTTACTGGCAATATACTTTTTACAGGCTCAGTGTGGTAAAACTATGCCTTCTTCTACTTCAGTTCTGCCAGAAGTAAAAAACGAAGAAAGTGTTAAAATTTATAAAACATGAATCTTCGTATGAGATTTGAGGACATGGTAGTGACTTCTGAGATGTAATATCATGCAGCCTGCTAGAAGTTTACTTCCTTACAAATCGTAAGAGTTTTTTTCTGGCAGCCATGCCCATTGTTTCTAGTGCTGTTTTTACATTTACAGGGTAATTTTTAGTAAATATTTTCAGTGGGCTCTATTCTGGGGTTGTAAATATTTTGAAAATCTGTAGCCAGGCAAATATTTTGGTCACCAGAAGAAGGCAGATCATTGTTTTTTTGTCACCTTGCTATAGCTCCCACCTGTGACTGGCATGCAAGTTCAGTTTATTCTTGTTGTAAATTGTTTGTTTTACACTGCAGTCTAGGCATAACATATCGGCAAAATATGTCAGTTTAAAGCAGAAGTAAAGTTGAATAAAATATTATATTTAAGCATCCTGTTGCACTCTACACGGTAAATGATACAAACTCCGTCCTAAGTGCAAACAATATATATTTATATGTCTTTGATCTTGTTCTTTCTATACTACATGTTTCGGCCTCTATCGGCCATCATCAGGTGTATACTCTTAACGTTGCTGCCACACTGAACCCAGTCTAAAACTTAACATTTAAAAACACAATGTCACATTCTTCGTATTATCAACATCTACATCGTTGATATGTGTCTGGTATGTAGATTATGTTGCACACGTCAAACCCGATATTCTTGTAGTAGCACTCTAAAAATCTTTAGTTATGATGTTTTTAAAACCTTTTAAAATTTTCTCTAAATTTTAAATTTAAAATTTAAAATTCTTAGGGTTACTCGCCCTATGTCTAAGTGCTGGAGCGGCTAGTTCTTGTTTTCACACTGTACAGGTGTTATTTAATGTAGTCTTCTTGTGTGAGTGCCGCTGCTTGTCTGTACTACGTGTGCTACGTGTAGTGTAGAAAGAACAAGATCAAAGACATATAAATATATATTGTTTGCACTTAGGATGGAGTTTGTATCATTTATTGAATAAAATATTTGGATATGAAGATTCTTAACTTCTGGGATAAAATGTGATGCAGTCCATCAAAAGTCAACTGACATTTCAGAGGACAAAGCAGAGCCACCTGTTTCCTGCTGGTTTCTTGCTTGGCATATTCTTGACCCTAAAGATGGCGACTTTCCATTGACAACACAGTGTTATATCCCTGAAGATACAACTTTCCATAACCACTATGGCAAGAACCTCAAATGCTGGACGTGGTCTCCCATTTCCTCAGTGCTACAAATGAATGCATGGAATTTCCAGAACTCCAGAAAGTTAATTATCAAACTGAATACTGAATATGACATCCCACATTGGTGACCCCGATGCGATTGGAAGCGCGTGTGGTGAAGATCATCAATGATGCCCACACCCTATTAAATATGTTATAGTTGTGCTTTGGAGTATCAAAGGTAGACTCTAGACTTAGGGGCCATCAACAAGTTTATCATAAATTGATTCAAAATGCCTAATATTGAGGTTATTCTATTCTCATCCCACTACGGGTTTTGATCTATCAAGATCATCAGTTGGTTTTATAATTACACATTATTGCTGGAAAGTTGCAGGTTCGATTCCCATTAAGAGTATTGGATTTTTCATTTGACCTAACCTTGCAGCCTCACTATGGCCCTTATATTGACTCAGCCTCTAACAGAAATTGGTATCAGGAATCATCCTGAGGGTAAAGGGTGGCTGGTGCATAAGGCTGACAACCTTGCTGCCATCTGTAAGCAGAATGTCTAGAAAACGTGGAAGCCTTGATGTCTCACAACCCTGTGGGGTTCCACAGCCTGTTACAGGGACAGCTTTACCCTTTTTTATCTTTATCATTAATGAAATTAGTACCAGGAATTAATTATATGGGCCTTCACGGCCTGGTACAGGGATAGCTTTACTTTTTACTTTACTTTATTACAATAACAATTTTAAAGTTTTTGTGTTGGATATGTCTCAAACAATGTATGCTACAAGTTAAAATCTAGTGGCAAAATAAAATTAAATAAAAACTGAATTAAAATGGGGGGATGGGTTGTTTGGGGTATTGGTTATTAGGTAGTGCAGATGGGCTTCATAGTTTTTTTATGTTTATTAGACACACAAAAGTTATTTTTGGTGTGAGGATGTGACTGCTCACATGTGGAGTTCATGACCCCCCCAATTTCATCTATTTAAAAAATCAGAATTCCATTTTAACTAATTTCATTTAACCACTATATTTTAACTTTTGACACATTTAACCCTTAGGATACATTATCTGAGACATATCCCACACAAACAATTAAAATTTACATCATCTTTCCTCGGATGTAAAGCGGTTAGGGCATGAATCTAACCACTCGCCTCTGACTAGTGCCAAGGTCAAGAAAATGTGGATCTACATATCCACTCCCCATACACCTTCATGGCGTAGTGCTTAACACTTTGCGGACCACGCACCCTTTAAAAGGTTTTTCGCTTTTAAACATGGTGGACCGTTCGTGTGTTAACGGGTTTTTAAAACACGATAAGTTGCAACACACTATACATCTCTCTGGCTCCACCTAGCTAGCACGTAGCTGCTTGCAGCTGCGTTATAAGGCTCTGGAATGTGCTGACCAATCAGTTACTAGACCTTGCTGTAACTCTATGCCCCTGCAAAGGAAAATAAATGCCTTTATTTCTTCAAGCTGTCAGTCAGTAGTTCAATATGGATCAAAGACCAAAGTGGTTGACACCCAAGCGATTTCTTGGAGAACAAGAAATATCTGACTTCTTCTATGATGAGCTATCTGATGTCCCTTGTGAGTCTGCTAGTGATAGCAACTCACAATCTGATAGTGAGTGTGGCAGGGGCGGACAAAAAATTGTGACCACAGATAGTGAAAGTGACCATAGCTCCGACAAATGTGCGGGTAGCAATATTTCGGGGACAGCCACATGGGGAAAAGTAGACAAAACGCCTGCTTTGGGACAGTTTACTGGAAATCCAGGGGTGAAGCAAATTCCATCGGACCCAATGCAAGTGTCTGAAGTAGCGGAACTGTTTTTTGGAGATAGTTTCTTTGACATGCTATGTCAGGAAACTAACAGATACTATCTCCAACACCGTGAACATTATGACAGAAGTTATAAGGCACTGAAGTGGGTGGATGTCACTTCAGCAGAAATGAGAAAATTTTTTGCAATTATCTTTCTAATGGGCCATACAAGGAGGGATAATCTGAAAGAGTATTGGTCAACAGATNAAATTGCCTTCTAGGCAATGCCGTGTTTGTGCAGTTCACAAGAAAAGGAGTAGGACTGCCTACATTGCAAGTTTTGTGTAATGCCACTTCACAGAGGGGAATGTTTAGAGAAATATCACACCCTCAAGCACTTCTAGAAGCATTGGTAAGTTTTCTCAAAAATTTTAGTTCATAAAATTAATTAGGAGATTTTATATTAATTTTTAAATTGAACAGTGCACAAGTTAGGGTAGTAGATATAAAAATGCCGGTCCGCAGGGTGACTTAAATATTTAAATTGCCTTCTAGGCAATGCCGTGTTTGTGCAGTTCACAAGAAAAGGAGTAGGACTGCCTACATTGCAAGTTTTGTGTAATGCCACTTCACAGAGGGGAATGTTTAGAGAAATATCACACCCTCAAGCACTTCTAGAAGCATTGGTAAGTTTTCTCAAAAATTTTAGTTCATAAAATTAATTAGGAGATTTTATATTAATTTTTAAATTGAACAGCGCACAAGTAAGGGTAGTAGATATAAAAATGCCGGCCCGCAGGGTGACTTAAATATTTAAATTGCCGGTCCACAAAGTGTTAAGTAGGCAAGCACAGGGATAACTTTACCTTTATTCCTATTTTCTGCCATTGCTCTTTATTCCTGCATCCTACTATCCTCATAATACCTTTTCCTGCATTGATCCTAACCATCTTGTTCAAAGTTATGTCCTTTCATATCTTTGTGCCTTCACACCTCTATATATGGTTCCAGTCTTCCTCTTTGCTACAACACATCTTTTACTTATTCTTTCCATTCTCAAATAGACTCCATGTTCGACTCTTCCAATTCCTGCTTGCTTTCGATCATTCAGCTGTTCCCCCTTTGTTCAAGTGTGTCCCCTAATGTATTTGTCTAATCTGTTTCCCATCACCTTAACCAGTATTCCATCACTCTGATTCTTTATTTTCCTGTCTGCCCCTCCAACAGCTTCTGAACATTAAGTTGGAGAACAGCTGACAGTTAAAGCTTCAGGACTGTCACTGGTGACCATATTTTTCAACATCTGTGCTACAGTCAGTGTGTAAGGGAAGATGGTTTGTTTGAACCTGCTACAAGACAGTTTTGTGGGATACATACCTGACTGGCTCCTGCAGACGGAAGCAGTCGGTTACTATCTTCCATTTGTCTCCCTGAGCTGTTACTGTAAAATTTTGCTGGAATGGGCGTGACACCTTGTCTTGGAATTTTACAAATCCACAAGCAAGAATCAAGAATGTCAGCTGATTGGCCACAGCTACATCTGAAATAATATCAGTGAAACCGTTTTATACATTTTAATACTTTGTCCCATCCTAAAGCCTTCTGGGGAGTGGTCTTTGGAAGCATATGTTGAAGGTAAGAGAGTTAAATTTAGTTCCTGTCCTTCCGAACGTATTACAGATGACATGCAGATATCTATACATACACTACCCCATACACCTTCATGGCATAGTAAAGCATGGGGGACAACTTTACCTTTTTTTTTTTGGTACCACAGATATAACCAAAAGAGCTCATTATGCAACAAAATCGTAATGAAGATTTGAGGCTCTAATGCGATCGAGTATGAAGATTACTTCTTGGATGTGATGCTGCACCGTCTGGTGCATCATTATCACTGTTTTGGAGGAACATGCTGCCTTCATCTTTAGGACAGAAGAGTAAGCAGAGCATGGAATAAAGTGATACAGATAAAGAGAGAGGGAAGACTTCAGCCTTAAGCAAAAGAACAGAATATGGAAAGAGAGTGCTATCAACTACCAAAAGATACTAGGGATGTGCAATTTTTGAGACAGAACAAAGACAAAAGATAACTCAATCTCAATATTGATTTTCAACTCAAAGTTCTAGAACTCTGCAGATAAATGTCTTCTGCATACTGACATGCAACATGCCTGGTCATTCTCATGATTCATGAGGTTAGCACAGGTAAAGTTATATCCCTCCCTCTCTGCCCACACTGCATTTCTATTTCTGCAAGAAATCAGTGTTATAAATTGTGATTACAGTGGCAAAATTGGTTTTGTAAGGAAAATTCTATTTCTCAAAGTATTTCCAAATTCTTGTTTTCATCTAGCCTTGAACTGCAAAAGGCATTCTTTCACATGCCTAGAGGATACTCTAGACTTGTCTTTGGGTCTGTGGGATAACAGGTTCTCTGAGATTCAAATCTCTGGAGGACTAATTTACTATAAAGGTGCTCACCGAGTACAGGCTGAGAATCCAGAGACGTGAGTGTGTGTTCTGAAGGTGGTAACCCTTCAAAAAACTTCTGAATCAGTTCTTTGCCAACAGTCCCATTTCCATTCCATACTAGGACCCCGGTGTCCAAATAGTACCGTGACATCAGCTGCAACAAGCAAATCCTGCTGTCACATATTCTTAATACCATGGTTAGTATTTACTTGTAATTTATTAACACTGTATCAGTAATTCAGACTATATAATATTGAACAACTGGATGGTGGCAAATAATGATTTGGAAAGAAGGTGGAAGGAAGAAATTTTGGCTTTATTTAACCCTTTGCACACCGCACAACTAAATCAGCTGGGGTACTTGATTTAAAACTACAGTCAAAAAACTGACTTACTTTCACATGAAACATATTTACTGTTAAAAATGTAAAGTAAAGCTATCCCTGAAACAGGCCATGGAGGCCCACAGGGTTGTGAGTTGTTGAGGCTCCCACATTTTCTAGACAATTGGCTCACAGATGGTGGTGAGGTTCTCAGTCTTGTGCGCCAGCCACCCTTTACCCCCAGGAATATTCCTGGTACTCATTTCTGTTAGAGGCTGAGTTGACCCCAGGGCCACAGTGTGGCTGGAAGGATTAGGTCAATTGAAAAAATCCACCTCATTGGGATTTGATCCCACGACCTTCTGGTTTGTAGCATAATGCCTCAACCAACTATGCTACTGCAAGCCCCCTATTTACTGATATTACGAATGTTTTTATCTATCACAACACAACTCTCAATAGTTTTATTCACATCAAGTGTGTATAGTGAGTTTATTGATCTTAGTGGTATAACATCTGCGATACATTAACACAGCAGGGTGCATTGCTTGAAGATACTTGCTGCTGTTCAAGTCACTGGAGGAAAGACTTGTGGCTTTTCCTGGGCAACTGTATGAAACAGCATTGGCATTTCTTGCAGGTAGTTCTGTGGTAAGGCTTGACAATCAAGAGGGTTAAGACACTGTCCTGGCATTTGAGGAAGACCATGAAAAACCTCAATCAGGTTAATCAGTGTCCTGGCTGAGATTCAAACTTCTCACCTTGGAGGCTTTACTCCTTAAGCCATCTTGCCTTGTAAAGTAAATTGTAATGAACTGTTCATAATCTTTATGCAGTAGTACTCACATGGCGCCTCTTGTCCACGCTTTCATAGTACAACTTGGTGAATTCCTCCGCGGTGTGGCATGCCTGGTCAATCTTGTTCTTCAGCTCCTGCCAACAGCAATAATGACAGAATTGTGAATTTTTTCATGATTGTACAGGAACATTTTATGAACAGTGAACTGCAGAGACGTTTTACAAACATTTAGGTCCCTGGAACATAAGAACCAGAAATAGATTTTTGGTTGTCACAGCAAAGAATATGCTTCCATCACAGAAGACCATCTTCAGCACGTATACCATATTAAAAGGAAACTTTACAATTCATATGTATATTGTCAAGTGCACGGGGTTTGCCGTGATGAATAACGGGTTCTGGATTTGATGATTGGGTTTATTGGCACTACTTCAAAACTACAATCAATTATAGCACTACTGCTAATCTACCCATTTCACAAATCACTAGGACATGCTCCATTTTTGTCCTTGTACTCTCAACTGCACCAGGTCCAATTCTGTTAATTTCACTCTTAGTTATTCTGGAAATGGTGGTGGCACAGTCCATATAAAAAACACCTTCTATTCCTGTAGCATATTGTTACAGCTACATGTTAACAGTTCTGTTGCCTAGCACTGGGCATGGTGTGGATCATACTGAAAATACTTCTTCCTCCATCAGAATTGCTGTGCTACCTAGCAACTAGCTGTAGTATGGTCCACAGAGAACATAGCTTGCTCTAATGCGTACACTGAGCCGCTGCCTAGCAATGGTCATATTCGTCACAATATATATACTGTAATGTGTTGGCTGTGTGACATGACAACTAACATCACGCTGGTCTCGGATCTGGCAAATTTACTGCACACTTTTATCCACAATTACATTACTCACAACTTCGGTATCTCTATTACTTCTCCTGCCGTAGTCACTTCCAGGCTTCAACTGTCTTGATTCCATTCATTCGATACAATCCAACAATTTTTAACTGCTAGACTTCAACTCCGCCAAATACTCCGAATACTAACTGGCTTCAGTGGCTGCTATATTTCAACTGACTCCTTAGGCATTCCAGTTGGACAGTGGAAAATACACCTCGCATCACTGTTGCGTAGTCGCCGTGTTTACAGAGGCGTTGCTGCTGTGTAGCAACCAGCGCGCTTCGGCTCGGCTAGGCACGGCACGAAGAAACACTGCTTTCCTTACTGTTGCATAACCTCGATCCACTGTTGCGCAACTTGGCTTATCATTGCCACTGACCTACTCCAGTCCCATCTCATCTATTTATGAGATGCTACTGCTGTGCCCCTTGACCCACTTTTCACCGCCATTTTCTCTTACATAAGTCATCACTATCCCACCGCAACTCAATTCCACCCTGAAGATGAAGGCAGTATGGTCTTCCGAAACGTTGAGTAGTTTCGTAACCCCCTACCAGACTATACGGTTTGAAGCCCCAGAATCCCATAAGAGGAATCGTTAACGCTGTGAAAACCTCAATTTTCATATAAAATGTTACATATTTATATAATGAAGGTTAGGAAAATATAATGTAACATGTAAAATACCATTGCTAATTAGTTCACAAACCTGTTCCATGACGTTTAATGTCGCAACTATAGCCGAGGAATGACGTATACCTTACAAGTTAAACTTTGGATATTCGACACAAGCTGTTTCCTAATTAATTACAATTAAATACCAAATTATACCACACGCTCACTCTGCGCACAGCATCCCAAAATGTCTCGGAACTCGTGAGATCTCGCGATCAATGATCACGTGACCTCAACTTCTACAGTTATTTTTTCAGGCATGATGGCGCCAAATGATGGTATCCAGTTTTATGTTGATATTTTACCGTGTTCGTGGTTTTGGAGAATTGTTGGTGTAGGTGATATTCATCTACAATACTTCTAGATTTATATATAGCTCGGATGTGCTTGTTACGGTGAGTCTGTGGCTCGTTACAAGAAGCAGAATTTCTAATGAGGACATGTTGGTTAGGCTGATGACAGAGACATGAATCCTACCTTCAAATCCTTTCATGAACTTGACAGAAGTGCGACTTATTGCTGATATTTGCCTCTAGCATAGTCAAAAATTTCGTTCAGTAAGTAGATGCAACATCAAAATAAACAATATAGATCAATAATGATGTCTCTCAATCGTTCATCTATGCAACCAAAGATTAATGAAACATCGCTGCAGGTGCTGCCATCTGTGTTGTCAATGTCGTTAGGCCTAAAGTTGGGCCGTGGGCACGATTCGCGATATTGAAATGTAACTTAAATTATCATTTTGCACTAAATTTGCGTGAAATAATGTTCGTTTGCGATATTCCTGGTGATATACCGTTGTTATATTTCGCGATATTATCGAGTTATGTGCTTGAATTTAGAAAGTATGGCCAATGTTTACATCCATGTCTAGGGAGGCACCATCCATTGAAGACAGTCTGCTCTGCAATCAGCCTACCAAGTTTATGGTATATTAAGTGTAAAATAGTGATTGTGTGTGTTGTGTATACGACCAAGTTACAGTTTAAAGTGTGTCTGAGAGTGACATTTGTGTTTTAATGCTTCAGCTTCTGAATGAACATTAAGATTAGATGCCTGATGTCAGATGCAATGCTTCATGAAAACTAACCAGTGTGTAGTAAATACTTTAAAATTAGGGGCTTTTATAAATACAGAGAGATGTATAACATGTTATTAATTAGTAATAGTGATTAAGTGACACAACTCCAAGTAATAGTGATCCAATTTTGTAGGTACATCATATCCCTGCACCTTCCTTAAGTACAGCTTCAAGTATGTAGTAAGTATTACAACTTTTGGATCAGATTTCTATTTCTTAACAATAGAGTAAGCAACATTATAAATGCTACATTATAATTGGAAAATTGGAAATATGTAGTCATATTAGTATTGAACATTTCATAAATTGTTTGTTTGTTTTTTTATGCCTTTCTAGGTTGTGATGCTGCAGCAGATATCCATGTATATTTAGTTTTATCAGATCAGAATGTCACAACGAGGCAAACGCCAACCAAATAAAACAGATGATGGCCCTAGTAAGTATTTTTTTTTGTGTGTGCTGTTTGTGCTTTGCACCTTAGAGCATTTGGGCACAAATATATATGATTATAAAATTTTCCAGTCCCTGCCAAGCGGCGCAAATGTCGTCCGCCGACGGCGGAAGAAGAAGAAGCGACTGCCATGGATGCTGCTGCAGCAGGTGCTGTATGGACTCCACGTCCACTTAATGATCTCAAGATCTCAAGCATTTACAACCGCAGCGCAACGGAAGCTCCAGCAGAGGTAAGTCTTGAGCTGTCATTACATTGTGGATCAATTGTGTGGCTGTTTCTAGCAAAATGTTGCTGTGCAGCCATTTGTAATGTTTTATCTTTCTTTTCTCAGTTTGACCAGGAGATGTTTTTGTTAATTCTGCTGGGCTTTGTGTTCAGAAGTTTTATGTTCCTTATTCCTACATAAAGGTTAAAGTGTTCAAATTTTTAATTATACCAGAACTTTTACAAATGTAAATCCCTTTTTTGCATGAACCGAAATACTGTGGAGTATACTCTCACTTGCCCAACACATATGGGAAATGGGGGTGTACTGATTACATGAACCTGCCAATTGCATGAGAGAAACTTACAGAAGCAATACAGAATCAGAACAACATGTTTTCACTTTTGTTCTTGCATGGGAGTCATGTTAGGTGGCATATCAGTTCGATGGGTGATTGATTTCAGATGCATATATTGTAACATGGTCTCAAATTCACCTGATCTTTACTGTAATGGCATCTGTGTGTGGGGGTATGACAGGCAGTGCCACTAATGTCAGCTAGAAGAACTTCCATGTGCCATGTGGTTATATGTTCAATGGTATTCACATTGCTTGGTCTTGTGTGTTGTGTCTGTCATATGGGAGTTTTAAAAATGCAATTTAATTTTAATGTACTCAACTAATTTAGACTTATTTCAGTTAATAGCATTTGCTCTAATATCAATTGCTTGCTGGCAGGGAGCGGAGAAGGGAATATTTTGCCCAGAAGTTCAACCATTTCCACCATTTCCAATGCATTTAGTGCTGCCACACATTGGGAGATATGGAAACCTTCTGTGTAGTATTTATTTGTGTTTGAATTATGTAATTTCATCGACTGTGATTTTGTTTGGAACTCAGCTGTCACATGAGGAGTAACTGTATACTTGAAGCTGAGAAGTGATGTCTTTCTTGCTCTGGCTACTAAGATGTTTTGACTGCTTGGCGTAGTGATCTAGCCCTGTAATTGTATTTGCATTAGATTTGTGATTTTTTTCATTTTGGCAACAACAGTAACATAAATTATGATAAAGAACAAACTTAAGGAATGCAGAATACTGTGCAGAAAAACTAGTGTTAAACATTTCCAGCTTTGCATTCAGTTCGTGTGTCATTGCATGCAGGGGTTCAGCATTCCTAATGTCACATTGTGCACAATATAAATGTTATTGTGAAGCTGAATTCCTGCTGGCAGTTGTTTGGTAGTGAAATGAGTACCAGGAATTAATTAAATAATTTTCCTTGGGAGTAAAGCACGGCCGACATGTAAGGCTGACAACCTTACTGCCATCTTTGAGCCGATTGTCTAGATAATGTGGGACCCTCAACGTCTCACAACCCTATGGGCCTTCACGACCTGGTACAGGGATAGCTTTACTTTACTTTTTTTTTTTTACTGGTTAAACAAGACCTTTGTTTGTTGTTCTGCAGTGTTAAATATTGTTTGTTTCTCTGGAGGAAAACCACAGATTGAGCCATGATAGGAAAGGAAATTCTACAATAAATATTGGACTTAAGTGAGATTAATTTAAATAGGGTAAAAGGTAAAGCTATCCCTGTAACAGACCATGGAGGCCCATAGGGTTGTGAGATGACGAGGCTCCCACATGTTATAGACATTCAGCTCACAGATGACAGTGAGGTTGTCAGCCCTTACATGTTGGCTGCCCTTTACCTTCAGGAAGATTCCTGGTACACATTTCTATTAGAGGACCCCAGGGCCGTAGTGCAGCTGGAAGGACTAGGTCAATTGAAAAATCCAGTGACCTCATCGGGAATCAAACCCACAACCTACCAGCATGTAGCATAGTGCCTCAACTGACTACATTACTGTGCTCCAAAATTATGTCACTAGAAGTTATTATTAGGGTAGTTAATTTGAGGAATGTATGTTGGGCTGTACTTGTAGCTCACATAGAAAAACAAAATACAAAATTTTGATGGGGAATTTTGCTGTGCACTGAGCACTTCTGGGATCAAGACAGGCACACTAGGGTAATATAAGGGTATTTCAGATATATGTAAGGTTCATTTAATGGTGCTGTCGTTATCTGAGACTGTATAGTATTGAATGATAGGATGATCAGTGAAGAACGGTTTAAGAATGTGTATGGAAGGAAGTTGTTATGACCAAATTTGAGGTACTGTCATAGCATTTGTATGGAGGAACTGAGGAAACTCATATCAGGAGAGGTAGTCTTTGGGCGAAGATGTAAACAGAAACCTCATGAGCCAGCTTATGTCATATGAGGGTGCCTCAATTGAAATCAGTTGTTCCATTATAAAGTGTCTGTATTGCTTGCTGCTTAAATGAGTCACATTATTGAATGTGCACCATATGAGGCCAGTGAGGCCCTGCATGTGTCAGGATACACACATTTAATTTCACATGCCAGCTGAGTGGCACCAGAGTACTCACGCTTTGTCGTATACCACGTACGTATGGACCTCACTAGTGTGCTCATTTGCGGAGTCACAGTAAGGTTAACCAAGGTCACATGGCAACTTTCTGCAGGACAGTATGGGCATGATGCATTTGATGTGGCCACAGCATCACATCACGCACGTGCCTACTATGAAGTTTCGATAAGCATGTGTCACCATGTGTGGCTTTCATTCTGCTATATATGATGGTTGGTTTGAGATTTGAAGTACTGAGAAAGTTGACTCACATGGTAAAAGGCGACTGGTTTGGATCCTGGCCAGGACACCAGCTGTCCTGACAAGTTTTTCCTCGGTCCTTCCACGAAAATCCTGGGATAGTACCTCAGATTGGGGTATGACCTTTTCCTTCCGCATTTTTTTTCAATTAATTATTCACTAATCACCCTGACATTCACTGCTGTGTAGTCTGAGTGTTTAAATGGTAAATACATGGGATATAAGGTTCTCAGAGCTGTAGATACTGAGATTATGGTCTTCACTCCATGATCCCAGTCATCTTAATTACTTGATTTGTATCTACAGCAACCCACACCTAGAAACTCATGCACCCATAGCTTAATACATTATTCCACATGAACTGTCATTTTTTAAGTACGTCGTCATGCTGTTTGTGTGCGTTTTTGCTACCATCAGCCGTGCAGCATGCACAGGGTTCATGGAAGAGCAGCACAAAACAAAAGTGAAACAACTTCTGTCATAAATGTGCACTTTAGTAGAACAGTTATTTTTCTCTGTGTTTCACTTGTATTAAACAAAGGCTTAACCCCATGAAGCATATTGTCAAGTATACTTTATTGTAGTGTCTAAGTGTTGCAGCACGCAGCATCAGGATACCGTGTATGACATAGTTAAGTATGTGTAGATGTCAGCACTAAACATGTATGCTTGTAGAAATACACATTTACCTTAAAATAATTAGAACTCTGATGCCCCTGTCAGCTGTTCAGAAGCTATGGGAATCATGGTGTTTGGTTTTGAACCCAAACTATGCTCAGAAAAGAAGGCATCTGAGAGTAAAGGATGTTAGTTTCAATAGTGTGAGCTGAATTGAACTGGCTAGGAATGAAGTCTGGTGATTGGTTTTTCTGTTTACTGTGTCAACCCTGCAGGTTCTAGTACTGAATAATTGTTATTTTATTAAAATTGATGTCCTGATGTTCAGCATAGTTTATGAGTGTACTAATGCTGCTGGTTTGCTGTTCAGTTGTTCAGAAAGGACCTGATCAGTGCGATGAAACTACCCGATTCAGAACCACTGTCACCGGATGAGTATTGGGTGATCACAGATCAGTGGAAGCAAGAGTGGGAACGGGGCGTGCAGGTGCCTGTGAACCCAGACTCTCTACCTGAACCCACTGTCACTGTGAACCAGTGCTCCGGCAGCAGAACACAACACCATGAGTTTAAATTGTGAGTAGAAAGAGATCATCATATGTTTGCAAGTTTTATTAACCCTCTGCGTGCCATAAGCCAAGCTTACTTGTGTTAAAACTGCCACAGCCCAAGTGATCAGCTTGATGTTAATCACTTTGTGCAGTATTTCTGTCAATATATGTTATCAAGCGTGATATACGGTTTCTAGCAGAAAGAACAGACTTTTGCATGGTCTACACCTGTGGCTGTTAGTCTGAAATCTGCAAAAGTATTGCGGGTTTTCTGGGCAACTGCATTACCCTCCCCCCAAGTAGTCTATAAGTGGGGTTTGGCAGGCACAGGGTTAATATGTAAGATTTGAGGTTTTCACGGCGGTGACTATGAAGAAAGCAGTGTTCTGAGATGTGGCACTGTGTAGATGTGGCGTTAACTGACGTTTTGGAGGGACGTCGGTTAACACCACATCTACACGGTGCCACATCCCAGAAGACTGTTTCCTTAAAAGGGTTAACGTGTTTATAAAATAACGATCATGTTAATCACATGGGAGACTTTGGGTTTTCCTGGTAGTGATTATGAAGGGTGCTCCCTTCTGGGTTGTGACAGCCAAAGTCTGGTAGTTCATTGCCACTGTTTCAGAGGAACCAGCAGCCTCCATCTTCAGGGTAGAAGATAGAGGCAACACATTTCTCTGAAACACTGGCAACAGCCAACCAGATTACACAGCATCACATAGGAGAAGACAGTTCAGATTTATTTGTGACATGGTGGACAGAGACTACATTCACGTGATTGATGTCCAGTTTTTCAAAGGGTTTGACCATGATACTGACCACTGTCTCGTGGGTCTGGGGGTTGGGGAGTAAGAGGCACTGATTAATTGAGCATTCCAAAAGCTTGATATGGAGAGATTCAACCTTCAGAATCTAAATAATGCCAAAGTTGAAGTGCAGTATCTGATTCAAATTCCATACTTGTTTGTAGCTTCAGAAAATGTGGACATGAGTGAGCTTGGGAATTCACAGAGGCGGTCATCTGAAAGCTTCCCAGAAAGAGGTACTTTAGCCATTTGGGAAAGAAGTACATGGGCCACTTATGTCATCTTGTATTGCACATGTTAAAACCTGTATCATAGTTGGTGGGCCAACAGGCAAACAGATCAAACATACCGAGATCACAGCACTTGTCACAAATGGTGCCTGTTCTTTCAACATCCATAGAATGTTCACATCATATGTTGAAATCCCTTCCTGGAAAAAAGAGTGAACTTGAAACCTGAAACTTCAAACCCCGGTATTCTGCGTGCAAAGCGTTTTTCAAGAAGAATGTTCTAACCTAGCATCAGTTTCATCCACTGTCTCTTCAGTGTATGTGTGGCATTTTTACGTATAATTATCAGATTTTAATTTGATTTGTCTCATTCTGGTCCATCACACTCTTAATTACAGAGTGGATAATTTTCAGTCCAGTGTGACATACAAGTTTACAACACTTCAGTCTTTATTCACCTTACATGTTTCGAATCAAAAGAATCATCCTCAGAGGTGCACCACTATGATCAGGAAACACTGTTACATAAGTTGTTTTAACAATATGCACAAACGACACAGCACGCACGTAAACTACACGACTAACAATAAGAACGTACAATGAAGAGAAATAAATGACATCTTCCACCATCAGGAGGAAAACAACATGACCCAATGTTGGCTCACGATATTTTAACATAATAACTAATTTTTTACATACAAAAGAAATTTTAATACAATTTTAAATACATAGGGAAGCTACTGTATGGAAAAGTGAACATCATATTGCATGCAGTGGGAAATCCCAATCAGAATACCCAGCAAATACGCTTAAAAGAAACAGAATCATATGTAAATCTACAGTTCAAGAAGCGTCGTTGTGAATGCTTAAGGCAAACATCAAAAATAACTGAGATAATAACAAAAATTTATATAGTGAGCATTATTCATAGCTTAAGTGCTTATTTTTAAAACATCTTATGTGACAGCGTTTCCTGATCGTAGTGGTGCGTCTCTGAGGATGATTCTTTTGAATTGAAACATGTAAGGCGAATAAAGACTGAAGTGTTGTAAACTTGTATATCACACTGGACTGAAAATTATCCACTTTGTCAGATTTTAATCTCTTTCTTCCTTTTGTATGTTACCAATAATGACCTTGTCTCTCTGTCTGTGATTGTATGAATGGTTACGGAACCGTGACATCCCAAAATTTATGTTGGATTTCTTCCTTTTCACATGTGTATTATACATGGACACTTGTTTCAATGTGTTACTCTTGCATGGCATTTCTGTACTAGAAGTAATATGACTAAATGTTTAATACAATAGCAAGCAGGAACCTGGGATTACGGTAGACAGGCGCATAACACATGAGCTTGCTTCAGAGATCTGTTGGGGTGGTGATGGGGAGGAAGTGTAACATGTATAGGCTGTTGATCTGTCAACTGCACCATGAGTAGGAACACATGCGTGCAAGATCACGCAACTAGCCTGTGTCCCTCTCGCCCCAGCAACCAAAGGATAGTTGAGAGGCTCTCAGACAACCTCCCTGTATTAGGGTAAACCGTTAAAGTTCAGCTCAAGAGAACGTAGGCTGTTGTGAGTTGAAACCATGTAACGCTTGGTTTGAAAAAGATTCCTTAAAATTATTTGGTCAGAGGAAGGAGGATCCAAGCCAAATGAGTGGAGATAATCTGAACAGTGTAAGGCATGAAACTAGTAAACCTTTCATGAAAGAGAACGGGGATTATCTGAAAGATGTGCATAACAAGGTAGGAACAGGCAGTAGTAACAAGAATGTTAGGGTTTTGTTTAGAGGTATTAATGAATTTAAGAGGGGTTAGCAGTCTAGAATTAACTTAGTAAAGGATGAGTGAAGCCTTCATTATCGAGAGTATGTTGTGCTGTATGGTAGGATGACTGACGAATGGTAAAGGGGAAAGGTTTTGGAAAGAAGCAGTCATGGCCTAAAGGAGATACTGTCCTGATATTGGCCTGGAGGAAAACCATGAAAATCCTCAGTCAGGATAACCAGTGATCCAGTCAGATTTGAAATGAGCGCCCCACAAATATAAATCTGGAATGTTACCTGTAGACGAACATGTTCAGTATGAGAGTGGTGATATTCTTGCAGATTCTCACAGTATTTTGAGCAGGTGGAAGAACTTCTTCTGTCACCTGTCTTAATGTATGTGGGATTAACAGTGTTAGGGGCTAAAATGTATTCAACTGGTAGCTGAGCCTAGTTCATTTGAGGTTGAGATTGCTGTTGGAATGTTAAAACAGTATAAATCACCAGGCTTTGGTCAAATTCAGACCAAATTGATCCAAATGGAACTTCACTGGCCAATCACAGTAGCCACGCAGTCTAAGCCATGGATGTCTGTGTGTATTTATTCTGTATTTGTAATGTCATATGTAGGTTTTGGCCTTGCAGTGGGCTGATCCCCTGTCTAAGGAACGCTACCAACTGTGTATAGATTAAGGAACTGAAAAAATGGCCAAGGTCCAAAGGGCTGTAGAGCCATAGCGATAGCAAGAAAGGAAAGATCTTCACCTAGTAATTCATCAACATTTTGACAAACATGTTTGTTCCCTTTTCATGATCAAAGAGTAAGCTAAGGAAGCAACGAGAAAAAAGCACACAGCAAGCAGTGGATCTCTCTACTCTGCAAGTAAGACCTTTTTTCAGAACCAACACTGTTATTCTACATTTTGGTCCTGTTGGATCTCCCCAAGGTCCTTTACAGGCATGGCTCACTCTGGTTGACTCTTTTGTACTGGTTACTTGCTCAACTTTCACTTTAGTCCTGAAGACAGAAACACAGATTCCTCTGAAACACTGGTGAACTTATACTGGACTGTAAGATGTCATATCCCAGGCAGTCAAAATCTTCATAGTCATCACTATGATGACCTCAGATCCAACGAACTTGTTGTGAATTATGAACATGGGTTGTCAATTAAGAAGTCAGCTACTGATCAGATATTATGCATTTGTCAGGAAAAGAAATAGGATAGCAGTGAGTCAGTATATCAGCAGTTTGTAGACCTCATCAGAGAGTACTATTCAGGTAAGAAGGAAATATTGCACGACATTCTTGTTGAGTGTGACATACCCATGAAACATGTTAGTGTAATTGAAATTTGTTAAAATGAATACTATAGTAAGGTTCGTTTGTTTGATGTATTTTCTGGGCAGAACAGTGTGAATCAGTTAAATGCCTTAAGGTAAAAGGGAAAGTTCACCCTGTACTTAACTAATTAAGCATACTCAAGGTATGCAGGTTCGAACTCGGCGGAGGTCGTGGAATTTTTAAGGGCGGAAAAATTCAGGGAACAAGTCCTGTGGGAGGGACTTTAAGCCGTGTGTCCCGTGTCGTAGATTTACGGCACGTAAAAGAACCTCATGTCTTTAGGATACCTCTGAGCTAAATTATAGGCCCTTTCCCGCCCAAGTATTCTCCAATGCCTCTGGTGGATGGGGGAAGCATCAAGGTGCTGGAGGCCCACCTTGTTGGCTCTACGAGGGCTGATGGCAAGCACCGTTACCGGTAGGGTATGGCGACAGTAGAAATTAACAGGGGGACGCACAATGGTCCAATAACTGGTCTAAGTGCATGGGGAAACCCACCCCCTTCCATAATACATACATACATAACTAATTAAGTATTATGCCATGAAGAAATGCGGAGGAATGGATGTATAGATCCACATATTCTTGACCTCGGCACTAGTTGGAGGAGAGTGGTCAGCTTCATGCCCTGGGTGCTTTACTTCAAGGGAAAGAGCTGCTGGTACCTATTGGATACAAGGCTGAGTGGGCCCCAGGTGTCTTATGACCATTATTTTTCAACTTTACTCTAGAATAGGCAGTATGAAGGTTCAAGCATCAATGGGGGTTGGAATTGAATGGAATACATGAACTTCTCATCAACACTGATTATGTTAATTTATTGGACAAACATATATACAATAGAGATAACACAAGATCTTTGTCAGCCGCTGTTACAGATCTTTTGAAAATGTGGCAGAGTTGAGGTATTTGAGAATGACAGTTGTAAATTAAAATTAAATTCACAAAGGAATTGAGCGTGTAGTAAGTTTGGGGAATGCCTGATACTGTTCATTTTAGAATCTCTAGTCTTCCCATTTGCCACCTAGAAGCATAAATTTGATCTGGTTTTGTATGGGTGAGAAACTTGGTCTGTCACATTAAGGGAAGCTCAGTCAGTATAGTGATGGACTATGGGCTGAATGGCAAAGGAATCAATTTTTTTATTTCTGGTAGGAGCAGGTTTTCCTGTCCTCTGTGGCATTCAGACCAGCTGTGGGTCACACCCAGTGGGTACTAGGGGCTCTTTCCCAGCATCAGAATGGCCAGGGCATGAACCTGACCGCTCACCATCATCTAATTCTGGATTAAGAATACGTTAATCTATACGTCCACTCTCCCATGTGTGTTCATGATGTAGTGCTTAATTAATTAAGCACAGGATCAGGGTTACCTGCACCTTACATTAATTAGGAGTGTTTGAGAACTAAGCACTTAGATAATAAATATTTGGATGGCCACGCCATAGCTCAAGCGGTTAGTCACTGGCTTCCCACCGCAGCAGCCCAGGTTCGATCCCGGGTCTGGTCAAGTGGGATTTGTGGTGGAGAAAGTGTCACTGGGGCAGGTTTTCTCCGAGTACTTCGGTTTGCCCTGTCAGTCTTCATTCCACCAATTGCTCCACAATCACCCTCACCTATCATCTGGGGCTCGTACAATAGACCAGAAGTGGCCGCAGTACAAGGGACTTAGTCCCACCCCACTAGCATTAAAAAAAATTTGGATCTAAGTAAGTAATGGGATGCTGGAGAAAGAAGCATAAGGAGGTATGTCATAATTCGAACACTTCACTGGAAATTATTGTGATGATCAAATCCAGGAGGTTGAGATGGGTAGAGGATGTAGCAAGAATGGGAAAGATGGGAAAGCATGAAGGGATGAAACCACTTTGAATGAAGGCATAGGCCTGTATAGAAGAATTGGGTTGAAATGGATTTGAAGGAAATAGCATAGGAAGGTGTGGATTGGGTTCATCTGACTGATGATAGGTGGGTTATTGTGAACATGAGAGCCTTTGGTTTACATAAAAGCGAAAAGATTATCCCCATGTATACCTTGAGGGACTAAGGAACAACCAGGAAGTGATGACCAACCTGTGCTGCAAGCATCAGATCCGAGGCCCCCAACCGCTAACCACTCAACATTGATGTTTGATGTTCGTGTCTTTCATTGCTGTGGTATGTACAGGCCATGTTGTCAGACCTCTCTTCTGGATTCTGCATGTGGAGAAGTGAAGTTAATTGTAACAAGAAGTATTGAGGCAGTGGTTGGTTTTGCATTGTGGGAGGGAGGGTGGGAGAGCAGTACACTGTAAGTGGGGCCCTGTTAAAACCCACACACACCCTGCAGTCCCTGTCTCGTTTAGTGGACTTGTCCCATTCCACTGTGCTTTCTGCTGAGAGTGGCCAGGCCTAAAACACAGTAGATGTAGTAGTTCATACCCAGAAGAAAATTCATTGTCTTTTAGTTTTTTTCTTAGTGGGGTGACACTGAGTCCACTTAGTACTGCGGCCACTGCTGGCCTATTGTACCAGCCCCATGTGATAGATGATGGTGATTATGGAGCAATTTGTAGAATGATGTTTGACAGGGGAAACCAAAGTACTTGGAGAAAACCTGCCCCAGTGCCACTTTGTCTACTACAAATATCACATGACCAGATCCAGGCTTGAACCCGGGCTGCCACAGTAGGAAGCCAGCTACTAACTTCCTGTGCTATGGCACAGTCATTGTCAGTCTTCATTGGCTTGCTCTTTGTTACTGCTTGCTTCCATATTTAAAAGAAGAGGTTTGCGATGAATCCATATCATTTACATGTGTATTTTCTGTAGTGCTTTCCTGCCTCCCTTTGGGCTTTGATCAAAGCCTAGAGCTTGAGCAATTATGTTCAGCTTTGTTTTGTCTATAATATACTTCCCTGGGATATTGGTGATATATGTATATAGTAAGGCCACTGTATAAAGTTACTTTTATCATAAAATTTACTTACTGACACTGTCTAGCACAGCAGTTCTTAAGCAGAAATGTCTTATGTCTACATTTACATGTTAGGAACATATTATGTGGCCACATAACTGAAAACACATAACTTTATGTGTAATACAAATCCTACAAAGAAGGTTGTTATTAATTTACAATTTAAAGCAAATTTCAAGGGAAACGAGATTACCTTTGTGGGAACTGCTGACATTAAATCAAGCGTTGCAGCAGCAATGCACTTATTTATGCAGTCATCACTGGGAAACACTCACTGCTATGCTACGACTCAGTGGAAGCAGTTCAGTACAGCGCAATAACAGCAGAATGAGGTGTGCTCTATACGGACAGAACAAAACTACTTAAAAAGAGCCTATCCAGGAAAATCTGTCTTTCTCAATCAGCCTATCTGAAACCTGTAGCCTTCGACTCTTCAAGCTGAAGTTTGTCTGTATGTTCTGTATAATGGCAGTAAATATTTGTACAGAAATTTAATAAGTGGTTGTCCTTCAAAAAACAACATACCCACATTGGTGACCCAATGTGATTTGAACATGCAGCAGGAGCCCACTAAATGAGAACACTCACTGGACGCTCTGCTGCAGCTTGCCAAAGATTTTCATCTGAAAATTTTCTGTAGTACTTGTTTTTCAAGACACGAAGGTGAAGGATTGAGCTGTGTACAGCATACCCTCAATACCCATGTAAAAATTGCCATTGAATCTGCAGACGGAATGAAGATAATTTGACTCAAGAGAGAAAAAATGTTGTCACTAAAAATACTTACCTATTGTTCATGAAAATAGCCATCAGTCCATACAACAAATTACTAGTGTTCGCTGACTCCAGTGGACGGCGCTCTTATTTCATATTTAGGAGAGATCCCATGTTCAAATTTCAGACCAGAGGCTGGCTGTCTTGACAGGCACATTTCATGGTTTTCCCCAATCTCTTCAGGCAAGTGCAAAGTAGTGCCTCAAATTATGCCACAGCTGCTTCCTTTCACATCAGTTCAAATTCATTATGCAGCAGTCATGATAAACTTCGAGTGTATATAGACTGAGCTGTTGACAGTGTCATTAATTAAACCGTGAATAAATAAAATAAATAAACCAAAGAGTAATGTCTTCTTTTCAGGTATTTCTTTTTTATCTCATATAAGGTGTACATAAGTAAGTCATGTGTAACTAAATCCAAAAGTCTGGGTTCTTACAATTTGGTTTGACAGAGGTTCTGTGACACTTAAACACAAAATGAATGTAACATGAATTTTCATATTCTTTGGTTGGCTATGGTTCAATATAGTCTTGTATTGATGTGGAGTGTTTAATGAAAAAAGTTGTATCCCCCATCACAAAATGTTAATCAGATGTTGTATAATGACATCTCACATACATTTCATATACCTCTTGCATTTTTTTCGTCTTCGTCATGTGAAATTTGGGCAGGGAGTGAGTTTGATGAGGGGATCCATCAGTTATTCCTACTTCCCTCCCACCCACACCTGATTGCTACTAAGATGGTCGCAGTGGATGGGAATGAGACAGATAAGAACAGTAGACACAGTTGTAATAAGACACAACAGGTATATATTCAAAAGACAAGAACAGATAAACAGAACACATAAATCTGTGCATGCACGCAATATTGCCATGGGTTACAATTGTAAATATTGATACCTTGTTGTCATTTAAGCTAACACAACAACTAAGGTACTAGGGCTAAGGCCAGTGAAAAGGAATTATTTAGGTTGAATGAGGGAAAACTGGCCAGGCAGTTCAGTAGTGAGGGAATACTTCGAAGATGACTGCAAGAGAGCAATGAAGCCAAATTACAATATAGCACATAACTTCCATACCCATATTCCAACTAGCTGCCCCAGCCAACTCGATGTTTCTTTACTCTAAAAAAAATAGTCCAGCCCAACCCAAGCAAGCACCCAGGTGAAGGTGACTGCGAAGGGATGGAGAACGATGGGAAACAACTGGGTTGGAGAAACGGTGAAGCACTGGGGTGAATGGAAAACCAAGATACTTGTTTACTAAAAAAAAAATGGAAGCCATGAGTTACCACACAGCTCAAGCAGGCATTGGATAACATTTATACATCATGGTGCTTTATAAACTGTTACTGTTTGTTGGATTTCGGGTGTGGTAAGATTAGTTTTTTGTTGATTCTCATTGCCAGTTTTATGATTCTTGTAGGCCCAAATCCAAATACATTCGTATCACCAAGGATGAGTTCTTCACCAACGAGGAACATTACCTTTCCAGCACACCTGCAAAGGCTGAGAAAGCATGCTCCTATGACTTGGATGACTGTGATATAGCATGGTTACAAATTCTCAATGGAGAACGAGCTTGCATGGGTGAGTACTGTGAAATTCTGTTCTACATTTGTGTATATTAAAATCGTGTGCCCTCCGCACTGTGTTGCTGTCTGTAAATGCTTTTCCATGGTCCATGGAAGGGTACCTACTTCTTTCCTGATTCTGGGTTCAGTGAGTCGTGAATGGTCAAGCTATCCCTGCAGCAGGCCTTGGAGGCCTGTAGGCTTGTGAGATGTCAAGACTTGCACATTTTTCTAGACAATCAGCTCACAGATGATGCTGAGGTTGTCAGCCTTATGTCCCAGCCGCCCTTTATACCCAGGAATATTCCTGGTACTCATTTCTCTTATAGGTTGAGTCGACCTCAGGGCCATAGTGCGGCTGGAAGGATTAGGTCAATAGAAAAATCTGATGACCTCATACAAAAGGAAAAATTGCTAGTTCTTTGTAATGCACTCAAACCCTCCCAAATTCTCTATCTAGTTATTTATCAATGAATTGGCTATACATGTAGAAGTGTTGGTGGCCTCATTATGATGTTGATCATTGCACTTTGCTCTTGCCTTTCTTTTCTAAACTTCCAAGGTAACCTGTTTGCACAGAAAAGTCATGTCTTCATCATCATACATTTCATAAATCTTAAATAGCCTGAGGACAAAAAATGTGCACTTTTTGTTCAAGACATCGTGGTACTATTGCAGGTCAGTCTGAACATCTGCCCCATTGCTGTCCAGTGTCATTTTTAATGGGCAGAGTGGTATTCCATTTTGCTTCAATTTCTTGATTGTAGACAGGGTTTGGATTGGTAATCTGTACTTATCTGGCAGTCATTGCCCAGCAGTGGGTATGCATGCCACAACACGAAAGTAAGGACAATGTCCCAGTGCATAATTAAGTACTGTGCATGCAGATGTTTGTAGCTCCATATATGGTTAACCTTGGCACAAGATGGAGGTGAGTGACAAACTTCACACCTCAGCAGCTATGGAAGGAGCCCCACAGCTGTTGTGAATGCTGCAGAGAAGAGAGGAATCTCTGCCTCTGCCAAGAATTGAACCATGAAACCACTGAGGAAGACCATATTTCATCATTTACATTGTTTGCTAGAGGATGTGCCTTCCTGTGAGACATCCGAAGGAAATCTGGGGCTGTCGTCTGAAGTTTTGTTGTTACAGAAGACTTATAACCACGTTTTCTGAGCTTTATAAACATAAGTTTCAATAAGCAAAAACATTTTTTTGTCTCGTACACCCAGCTGATAACTGCCAGTAGGCAGGTTGGCATAGCCTTTCTCTTTTATTAGGGAGGTGCTTGGTTAAAATTTTAGCTGGGACACCAGATGTAAAATGACCAGGACGTGAAGCTGCTCAATCACCTACACATAGTGCCAAGGTTAAGAATTATGGAGGTGTACCTCCATTCCCCTAACATGTTCATGGCATGCTGTTTAATTTAGGACAGCGACATCTTTACCTACCTTATGTCCACTTGGAGTATCTTTGTTTTGTTTTTAATTGCTGACTATTTAATAAAGGCATGGGTTCTTTATTTCATTATGCAGAAGATCTTGTTTAAGTCATCAATATTCTGGATTACAAAATAAAATTTACTTTTTTATGTTAAGATTTGAGGTTTTCATGGCAGTGATGATATGTGTTGTGGTTTTCTAGTTATGATACCATTTATTCTGATATATAGATGTCAATATTTTGGAGGGATGTACTGGCTCTACTTCAAGCCTGAAGAAGGAATCAGTATATTCCTCTGAAACATTGGTACCCATTTTCTGAACTGCATAGTATTGTGACATGATGACTCAGAGCCAGAATAGTGGAACAGCTCAAGGCACGCAACAATAGAAGAACTGTAGGAAGCAGTGTTTCCTGTGCAGCTATGTAAGGATGACAAACGGGAGTAATTAGTTGTGAGTCATAGCTTGGAAGGCATGGGTCAGAGGTCAGAGTCAATGGTTGAGTTTCATTGTTAGACACTGCTATCAAGCTATTAAGACTTTGTGTTTGCATTAGTGATTTGTAGTGTGCGCAAGTCAGTGACACAGTTAACAATTATTTGTAGTTACGAATTACGGGCGCTTGATAAATCCAGTCATCAGTCCAAACCCAATGTCTAGTCACTAACACATGACAGTGTCATAACTTAGAAGACTGCAGTATGAATTTATGATATTAGTTTGCCTGAATTGCTGTCAATCACAGTCTGTCTTGACAAAACCTAAAATTCCTTGCAGAAATATTTATTTTGTCTTGTCCATGATTTATTATTATTCAGGATTTGTCATCCTGAACAGTTTTAACATTTTTAATATTTAAAATTTAGCAATATATATAACGAATATATATTTTAGTTATTTTAGTATAAAAACAGGGCATGCAATGCAGTAGTTCGACGTACATCGAAAAGCACCTGAAGATGGCACTTTAGTGCCGAAACATGTAGTGCAAGAGAGAAGAGTAAGGTGAATAAATGTATGCACTGTAAGACGGTCAGAATAAATCATGGACATAAATCAGTGCAACAGGACGCTAAAATATAACATTATTTTGTCTTTGTTTGAGTTGGAAATGTATTTTCAACATGACCAAACCAACTCCCTTCTTTCAGAAAAAGAGTTTTTAAAACAACCAAATTATATTAAGTACCTACCACAAGACAGTGGCAGATCCTTTGTTTGTGAAGCTGTGAATGTTTGGATATGCAGATTTTGAAACAAAGCATAGAAAAGACTGCCTTTAGAAGCTAGAAGTTCTCCTTGATGAAGACATGTTCCCTCCCTTGTTATAACAACCATCATCTTTACTAACAGCCCACTAGATTGGCGTAGAAATATGTGTGACACATTTATTGTAACATTTTGGGCTGTGTACATTTTATACATACACCTTATATGAAAGGTAATGACAGTTGAATTTTAAAGTAGATGACATGAATATGCATATGATGTAACCACCATAAAATGAGTATAACTTATAATCAAGAGCTTTATTATAGCAACAAATATCATCAGAACCTTAATTTTTAATGCTATATGTATGGAAAAAGGGGCAGACGGTAGCATAGTCAGTTGAAGCACTATGCTACAAGCCGGAAGGTTTGCGGGTTCAAGTCCCGATGAAGTCATTGGATTTTTTTCAATTGACCTAATCCTTCCAGCCGCACTATGGCCCTGGGGTCGACTTAGCCTCTAACAGAAACGAGTACCAGGAATTAATTAAATAATTTTCCTGGGAAGTAAAGCGCGGCCGGTGCTTAAGGCTGACAACCTTACCGCCAACTTTGAGCCGACTGTATAGATAATGTGGGACCCTCAACGTCTCACAAACCTATGGGCCTTCACCGCCTGTTACAGGGATAGCTTTACTTTATATATATATATATATATATATATATGTGTGTGTGTGTGTGTGTGTGTATGGAAAAATCTCATACAAAATACAGAGTTTTTTCTGGCACTTGTGTCATTACAAATGACTCGTAGCTAACTGAAAGTTAATATGTATAACACACCCTCTTCTGTAGGATGTGATGTTCAGACCACTGTGGTTATAAAGAAGCCTATATATTGGGATATAACACCAAGTAGTCCACTGAAAATCAGTGTTGCTTGATTTTCAGTGGACTTCATTATACTATATTCCAGAAGTCAGAACTTTTCACACCTTGTCTTGTTAGTAAGTTCAGTCTTATGAAATCATACCATATCGCACCATTTCTGCATCATGCATTGATTTATGTCTTGCCTGTGAGTGGGCTGTATGTGGTAGCATAGTTGATTGTGGCACTATGATGCAAGCCATAAGGTCATGGGTTCGATTCCTGATGAGGTTATTGGATTTTTCAATTGACCTAATCCATTCAGCCACACAGTGGCTCTGGGATTGACTCAGCCTCTAACAGAAATGAGTACCAGGAATATTTTTGGAATATTCTTGTGGGTAAAGGGCAGCCAGTGCTTAGGGCTGACAACCTTGCCGCCATCTGTGAGCCGATTGTCTAGAAAATGTGGGAGCCCTGACGTCCCACAACTCTATGGGCATCCACGGCATGTAACAGGGATAGCTTTACCTCTTTACCTTACCTTGCCTGTGAGTTAAGTTCCCACAAATGTTCTCCTGAATGTTTCAGGCCTACACCCCGTCACAGAAGACCAGCTGGAGCGTGTGATTGAAGAACTGGAGATACGTTGCTGGGAGAAAGTGCAGACCATTGTCAAAACGGAAGAGGGGCTTGGCATAGAATATGATGAGAATGTCATCTGTGATGTCTGCAGATCTGTAAGTATTTCCAACGCATAACACCACACTCCTTGCCCTGACCTTTACTTCCATTGCGAGACATATGGTTTATCAGGCCGAATCCTTCTTGTATCTCATTCACCCTGAAGATGATGCTATAGTTAGTTAGTTAGTTAGTTAGTTAGTTAGTTAGTTATTGGAGAGGGTGGGTTTCCCCATGCACTTAGACCAGTATTGGTCCATTGTGCTTCCCTCTGTATTCTACCAGTCTCTATACCCTACCGATATTGGTGCATGCCATCAGTCCCGACCGAGCCAGTGAGTTCGGCCTCTACTGGCTTGGCGGTATCTATAATGCTTCCCCCATCTATCAGAGGCATTAGAGACTACTGTTGGGCGGGAAACGTCCTTGAATTTGGCTCAGTGACCTCCTTTGGAGATATGAGGTTCTTTTACGTGCCGTAAAGCTACTACACGGGACCCATGGCTTAAAGTCCCTCCCGGAGGAGTTGTTCCCTGAATTTTTCCGCCCTTAAAAATTCCACGACCTCCATCGGGTTTGAACCCGCATACCACGAGTCATGACGTGGGAACGTTACCTCTAGACTATGGAGGCCACTAAGATGATGCTATAAGTATGTGTATAAATTGTAATGGTGACGGTGATGATTGCGGTGCTAACTCTTGAAATCATCTTTTGTAAGAAATGTACACGTACTTCATCATGTGTCTCTAGTGTATGTACTACTCATTTGTGATGATTAATAATACACTCAACTCTCGATTATCCGGGGGCAGATAAACTGGTTTGCGGCTTAACCGGTGCTTTTTTTGAGGCCTATATATTGTTTAATATTCATTTAATTTTGTTTCACATGGTGAGTTGTAACACTGTTTTCGCACTAGTGTGAACCGAACTCTGCATTTTGTGGTCCCATTATGCTAACACAATGTTCTAGGTTAGTGGTGAAAGAATGCAAGGAATTTGGGAAAGTTTCAAGGACAAATACACCGCCCCAGTTAGTCTCTTTGTATTGATCTTCAAGTGCGTTAGCAAAATGTCAGGGTGTAAAAGGAAGCGTGTTGTGTTAAGTATTGAACAGAAACTCATGTGAACCAGGCTTCGAAATGTTAAGCAGTGACGAAATCGTAAGTTCAGTGGGGGTGCAGCCAGAAGAGCGGGAAGAAAGTGAGAATGAGGAAGATGTGGACGCTGCTGCTAGTAAGAAAATATCACATGGTGCTGCTCTTAATCATCTGGAATCCTTACTAGACTATCTTGAGAGTGAAGAAATCAGTTTATTAAGTGACAAGCTAATATTACATAGGCTCCGTACGGATATCCATAAAAAGGAAAATGCAGCGAAAAAGCAAACGACAACATTAATTTTTTTAAGTGTTAAGTGTGAATATTCGTAAAAAGTGTTGGATGTTGTTGAACACTGTGATTGAAATAACTAATTCATACTTCAGTGTAATGTAAAAAGAAGTATTAAATAGGCCATGAAATGGCATAAAAATGAGGTTGAATAGATTTATATACAGGTAGGCCTATAGTATTATGAAGGTACAGTATTACAGTAATACTTTTAATACAATTTGTCTTAACCGGGTTTTCGATTAATCGTGATTTCCATCCCCACCATCCGGATAATCGAGAGTTGAGTGTATTATATTTCAGCATCCTGTTGCATTAATATCTCACTCACTCTCTTCCATCTGTAAATTAAAAACACATGCACAAGGAACACAATATGAATGCCACAACATACAAATAGCTTGAAGAAAGTACAAGCGTATATTCTCAAACATGACGAAACACAATAACAGCATGTTATTAATGATGTGCAAGCCCATGTAGTGTAATGATTCCTTCAGTTAATAGTTGCCTGATGATGGCGTCACGAGGTTGAAACATGTAGCAATGAATTACATTTTAAAGACATTTTAAGTGGCATTTAAAATAAAGAGTTGTGTTTGTGTTGATTAATTTGTCAGACAAGAAAAATGCTCCACTGGTCCATATGTATGCATGTTGTTACTTGTCATGTTATGTTTGCAGCCGGACTCTGAGGAAGGCAATGAGATGGTGTTCTGCGACTCATGTAACATCTGCGTGCATCAGGCATGTTATGGCATCACAACAATACCATCAGGCTCCTGGCTGTGTCGTACCTGTGCCCTCAGCCTGCGTCCCGAGTGTGTGCTCTGTCCTAACAAAGGGGGGGCCATGAAGTGTACACGTTCAGGGCAGAAGTGGGCACATGTATCTTGTGCGCTCTGGATCCCTGAAGTGAGCATTGGTTGTGTTGAACGCATGGAGCCTATCACGAAAATATCCAGCATCCCAGTAAGTACATCTGGACCATTGATCTCTGATTTATTTCATATGGGTGGTTTACTTTCTGCCTTTTGCAGCCACCAAGATTTGTTGTGTCTGTACCAAAATACTGGATAATTGGCCAGTCTTTTCATAAACTGTGTATACTATAATTTTTGTGGTTTTTGGAGTTGTGGTAGTGGAGATTGTACTCTTCTGGCTCATAAAAAGAGATGTCCTGAATATGTTTAACTATTTACAGCTGAGTGGCTCTAATTGCACCCCCTCTCCCCCCACTTTAACATACTAAAACTCTGCATATTGCATACAGGGTGTATTTGTGTGCTTCATATGGTTCTCACATTAAGCAACTCCCCCCCCCCCCCAAACATCATTAACCAGTTGGTCTTCGTAGGGGAGATGTAAGGTGTTTACTACCATGTATGAACCAAATTTATATATTGTGACATGTTGACCCCTACCTCCCCAGCGGCACGTAGCGGTAACGTAGCACTCGCGTAATAGGCGATTCATCACCCCGCCGCTCTCCCGCGGTGACGTCACGAGCGGAGCCGACGTTAGCCGAGTCCCCGCAACCTTGAAGCTATGCAAAGCGAGTGAACAGCGGTGACGTCACCAAGGGGTAACAGCGTCCTAGGCTATACGCCACGTCACACTAGCGACAGCGAGCAGAATAAAAGCCGGCTGAACAGCAAGCGAGAGTCAGTGTGTTATCAACAGTGCTCAAGGTAGCAGCCTGGGAGTGTGCGATAACAAAGAAGTCAGCGAGCGGAAGACTTATTGTGTGCTTTTGAGACTTAGTGAGTGCTGTAGTACAGTTATACTTGAAGAGTGTAATTCAGGGAGATTTGTATAGCTCCCGCGTTGTTAGTACGTGAAGATTTTGTTGTAGGGTTTGTAAACTGTGGAAACCCGTAACATTGTGATAAGTAATTGTAGCCGTTTCTTGTAGATTGTTGAATAAACCAATTAACGATCTCTACGGCGTATTCAGTAACGAAACATGTTACAATATATTATTTAGAAGGAATTCAGTCTTTAAACTATTAATAGATAAGCAATTCATGGCATAATTAATCGTACAGTGTTCTACTACTGAACTGAATGTTGTGGTGTTTTTAAAATTTGGAAGTCCTGGTTTCAAATTTGTTTCAGAGACTGGCTATCTTGACTTTTTTGCGGGTTTTCCCAGTCTCTCCATTCAAATTTGACTTCACATTAGACAATAACTGTTACATTCCAAATAATTTCCAGTCATTCACCAGTTGTCCTGCCATTTTATGGTATAGTCTTAGCTGTGGACAGTGTCATAAACTATCAGTAAATGGAATGCTGCTAATGAACTGCTTTTTCACGCATAATTCTAATTTTAAATTGTATTGCATCTGTGTTTCACTGAGAATGGCGAGGTATTACTGCAAAAGGCAATCACTTTGTTGTGAATAATAATAAAATGGTTATGTTATAACAAAGTGGTTTTTGGTGACAGATTGCCAGTTCAGTAAGCAACATCTGAGGTTATGTTACACTCATAATAATTATTTCCATATACATGACCAAAACAGTAAAGAATGGTATGTGCACTCTTCCATTTTTCTGTGAAGTCACTAGACCGACTGAGACATTTTCCCCCTGCTATATACTACTTGATTTCCCAATGAAGATAGAATAAGAGTACGGTGCTTCCGATTTATAAGTGGACCTGGGCGTTCATCTCATGTCTATAGTGTTTCCTTCTGAGTGTGCTTCTGTAGCTATCCGCAGAACATGAAGTCCAGACTGAATTGTGAATGGGTAAGACATTTCTGTGTGAAAATTATTGGGATGCACAGGACAGAATTGAGGGCTAACACTTCTGACAAGATGCCTAGTTTGAAAGTCAAGGTTCACCACTGTGTCCACTGTTCCTACACCTTGTTATTTTCATTCCTCCTCTGTTTCTCATGTGTGTAGGAATAATAAATGTGAGATTAACATGTGCTCATATATTATTGGTTCAGTGCAGAATAATGCAGGGAACACTCCAGTAGATGAGGATGACAGTTTTACTCCAATAATTTTTCTGTACGAAGGTTCTAATTAATTGTATTTCCCAGAAGCGCCATTGTTAGGTAAAATCTTGTTTTCCATTTGCAGCAAAGTCGCTGGGCACTGATATGTGTTCTCTGTCGAGAGAGGGTGGGAGCGTGCATTCAGTGCTCGGTGAAGACGTGCAAGACAGCATACCATGTCACCTGTGCTTTCAAACATGGCCTTGAAATGAGAGCCATAATTGAGGATGAAAATGCTGATGATGGGGTGAAACTGAGGGTGAGTGTTTGCATGTGTGACTGTTGGCTTATGCATTACAGCAAAATCCCACTTTAAAGTTTCTATGTTTATTGACATTCTGTGTTCAGTGACTATTTTTTCTGGCCCAAGCCAAAATCAAATGTAAAGGACATGTTATATTTCAGCGTTCATTGAATTTCAATTTTGTAAGTGACCTGTATATAGCGTGGCAAATTATTTACCTTCTGTGACTTGTACATTGGTTTATTGCAATTGTGGGCAAACCAGCAGGCAGTATTCATGTTCCCCTTCTGTTGGAAAAGTGTAATTGCACAACTACATAATCTGTGGCAAGTAACATCACTTATTGAAGACAGGCCACACAGCTCGATTGCATCATTGTTGCTTTGGTTTCTGATTAAGGCACCTGCAGTGTTTTAATTGTATAAATTATTTTAGGGATTAATTTGGTACCATTATGTGGTGGTATTTATTTGTAAACAGGTTCTTTCTTTCAGGGTTTATTTTATATTAGCTACTTATACAAACGGGCACGTGGTAACGTAGTTGGTTGAGGCACTATGCTACAATGTATAAGCCAGAAGGTCGCGGGATGGAATCCCGATGAGGTGGAATTTTTCAGTTTACCTAATCCTTCCAGCCACACTATGGCCCTGGGGTTGACTCAGCCTCTAACAGAAATGAGTACCAGGAATCTTCCGGGGGGAGTAAAGGGTGGCCGGCGCGTGAGGCTGACAGACTTACTGCCATCTGTAAGCTGATTGTCTAAAGAAAATGTGGGAGCCTCGACCTCTGCAAATCCTATGGGCCTCCACGGTCTCTTAACTGGGATACCTTTACTTTTTTTACAAACAAATTTTTTTATCATAATTTTGCAGAGTGTCTTAACAAGAATATGAACGGCTACATGATGCAATTTTGCAAAGCCCCCATTTAGTGAAAACCCCGATTTGTTGCAAGGAAAGCTGTTCTCCCATAGAATTATTGAATAGGGGTTATGGTATATTTTTATGTGCGTGATTGCTCACGGCAGTATGCTTTTTTTGCAGTCGTACTGTCAGAAACATAGTGTCACCAGCAAGAAGGAGAAGAGTGGCTCGGCATCTGAAGATGAGGAATCCAAGAGAAAGAAGAGAAAGGACATGACATCTGAGGAGAAGAATCAGGCGCGAGCAGCCAAGTACGATTCCATGGTTGCCCTTTGTATGCACGAAAATATGTTACTGAAAAATTTTGATGTATAAGCTTTTCATATGAGCATTTGTTTTTTGCAAGCTAAATAAAATTTTAATTGATTGATAGAAGCAAACTTTTCTAAGAAAGTGTTAAGTAATTTATTGGTAGATTAATAATAGAAATGTATTTTTGGATATCATATAACCCATGCAAGAGAAAACTGCGAATATAAAAACTGTGGATTTTTTCAGAATACTGGGCACTGTAAATCTGATCTTTAAACCATCATTATTTTCTAGGCATACAAGAATATGAATTTATGAGAGACCTGCTAGACCACCATTATCTAATGGCAGTGATAGTGAGAAGTTGAGAGAGAAGATTTATGTCAGCAGAAATGTTTTTTTGTGAGGATTGCAGAATATGTCCTTTTTAGCCAGTGAAAGAAATGAAATTATGAGTCCACAAATACCAGAATTTATAGAACAGTATAGAAGAAATTATAAAAAAGACGTTAACAAAATGAAATGACAGAAGTCTGAAAAAAGATATTAAATTATCAACCAAAAAACGTTTGGAAATCCTCTGAAATAATGGAGGTATTCTGTTTTATAATCCACAGCAGGTACCATTTTTTAGTGTATTAATTCTCTAGTTTGGTGTATGATAATTTATCCCATGGCCACCAGCTATTTTCATGACTAATGAGTAAGTTCTTTGTATCTTCTGTAAATTTACTGGGGACTTTTACTGCGATTATTGTGTGTCTGTGCTTCATGGCTGCAAACTTCCACCTTCATTTCTTGAGAAACAAGAATACTGCAACAAATGTCTGTGATTAGCTATGGAAGAACATCAGATTTTTCTAATGCTTTGCTTTAAATTGTGAATTAATAGCAATCTGCTGTATGGGATTTCTGTTGCATGTAAATATTTATGTATATTTTATGTTGTGGTCACAGAATATGTTTCAAACTTTTAAGTGTGGCCACAGGACATTTTGCTTGAGAATCGGTTTAGAGTATACAGTAATTGTATATAAGTACATGGCTTTCTGACCTACTTCCTGTTCTGAAAAAGGTAGCAGTGACTAAATCTCATCCACAAAGTTTAGTCGTGTATTGAAAGTAAAAATTTTGTAGTGTCTTCATTATTGCTTTAACACATACATGCGGCCATGAGTTGCATTCTTCACTACTAATGCTCTTCCCACTGAGTTGAAATATGGCTGGCAGGCCTGTAAAGGTGGGACGTACCTTATACCCAGACGTTATACTGCTAGGTACTTACAAAGTAAAGTGTAGCTACTATGTCAGACTCAGAGATTTAATATCCCCTTTTCTGGATGATAGAGATTATGGAAGCTTATAATAATTGGGGAGTAGTCTTGCTTCTTGATCATTGTGGAAAACATGGTTCATGTGGAGGGAGTTTGGCATTTAACATCAGGGCAGTTCAGATGTTTGTCTGATGTGCCAAACGTTGAGCTCAGGCATGGTTATGATACGAAATGTAAGTTTCTCATGGCTTGCCCTTTGAGTTGTGACACTGAGTAGTGTAGCGCAGCAATACCTGTAGATTCTGAACGGTTCTGATGATATTTAATACCTGGAATTCCTGGGTTTTTGGACTTTGTTCATCATCCGGTATTCTATTTTATTGTACCTTTTTCCTTCTATCTCCCATCGACAGCCTGGTCTCAGGTGTTTATACAGCTGTAGTTATACCGACATCCACTGATTGAAGTTAGCTCTTTGTAAGGAACCCAGCTGAGTAGGTACCTGCCTGTTCACCTGAGGATGGGAATAGAGTCAGTTTCTGAAACACTCTGTTCTCTGGTTTTTATAATACAAGATGATGCACAAAGATCAAGAACCTAGCAATTCAGAATATTACCATTGTTTTGGAGGAAGCTGCTGCCTCCACCTCTAGTGTAATGCCCTGCCAGGATATGTAGTCTCACATCCAAGAGGCAGTAATGTTTTGTGTTGAAGTAAATAGATATAACAGACATGTTCATCAGTAGTGGGCAATTATTAAAAGTTTGGAAATTCTGTTTTAATAAGTTTTGGAGACGTATGGCAAGGCATGAAGCTGACCACTGACAACCAACTAGTGAAATTGTAAATGCTGTGTTGTATTTTATGGTTTTTGTCTTTGTGCCATCATACAGCCCATAGTTAAGTCATGCACTGTGATGTGTTCTACAGACTGCAAGAAATTGAAGCTGAGTTTGACAAACATGTGAGCATCAAGGACATCACGCAACACATGGATGTGGATCCCGAGGGCAGACAGTATATATACAACTACTGGAAGCTCAAAAGAAAGGTGTGACATTTCTGTGCATTTTTGTGTTTTTAAGTGTGAATGAAAACAGTACTTATAAAGGGCTTTTGGAATGTGGTTTGGGTCACAGAAGGAAGTGGAAGTTCATATGCACCACCTGCTGCTCTCTCCCACCTGCACTGCACATCTGCCTTCTGTCGGCATTTATCGTTAGTAATAAACTTGAAAAAGTGATTTGTCACTTGACATTCTTAACATTGCAGCCTTAGAATGTGAGTGGAAAGTGATGGGAGTAGGGGAAGACTTGTGAAGGGGAAGTAGCTGCTAAGCTGACAGGTTGGAGCAGAGTGTATATTAATTCTTTCTCTGATGAGACTTCAAGATTTCTGATACATTCGGTTATCTGTGTTAATGGAAAGTAGATATTAGTGTGGGTAATAAACATTTGCAATAGTTTATGGATGACCCTGTGTTTTCTGATTTTGTGGTTGTTATTGTTAATGGCATGCTCCTGTGTACAGGCTGGCTTCAACAAACCATTGCTACCACCCAAGTCAGAAGATGCTGATATCTTATCTCATCAGCAGGAGCAGGCCGATCTTGAGAAGATGAAGATGTTTGTACAGCTTCGGCAAGACCTAGAGAGGGTCAGTATAACAATGCTTGCTGTTAGTTTGATAGTGTGCATCCGAAGAATTAAGTGTGGGCTACAGGCCACGTAAGACATGTGATACTAACATTATGTTTTACATGACATTATAGGTGCTCAAGGTGCAGTCCTCTGGAATGTGGCTCTGTGTAGTGTGGTTTGCAGTTACCAGTGTTTCAGAGAAACCTGCTGCCTTGATTTTCGGGTAGAAGAGCAGGGCGTGAAAGAATTGTATAAGATTTGAGATTAGTTACTATAGGATTCTGATGATGGTGTATAACACACTGATATGTTGGGTTTTTGGACTTTATCCATCGTCCTGGTTTTTAAGATAACAAATAAAAACACGACGTTTTGGAAACTGGATCTGTTTCCGTCCTCAGGTGAAGGAAAACACCTATTCAGTTGGGTCCCTTAGAAAGAGCTAGCCTCAATCACTGGACACAGTCCTTCACCTGAGGACGGAAACAGATCCAGTTTCCGAAACGTCGTGTTTTTATTCGTTATCTTAAAAACCAGGACGATGGATAAAGTCCAAAAACCCAGCATATCAAGATTTGAGATGCTCACAGCAATGGCTGAAGCTGGGATAGTATAGTTAGTATGGTGACCGGCTACGGGATTGACGATGGGTTGGAGTTTGAGTCCCGATAGGGTCAAGAATTTTCTCTTCTCTGCATTGTCCAGACTAGCTCTGGTGCCCACGCAGCCTCCTGTCGAATGGGTACGGGTCTGATGTTTCCCCAGGGGTAAAGCGGTAGGGGTGTGAAACTGACCACTTGCCTCCAGATAGTGCCAAGGTCATCAAAATGTGGATATATAGATCCAGTCCCCATATTCCTTTGTGGCGTAGTGCTTAATTAGTTAAGCACAGGGACAGCTTTACCTTTACCATGGCAGTGGATAATAAGATTATGGTCTTGGATGAGACACCATGTACTTGGTAAATAGGTACAAGTGACTACCCTGACAGGGATTTCAGTGGTTTTGCTTAGTATTTCCAGTCAAATGCCAAGATATTACCTCAGATTTGACTGTGTCCCTACAGTTCACCTGTCAGTAAACCTTGAGTAAATAAATAAATTGATTTTCTGCTGGTGTTGAGAGCCTGGACATGTCCTTAGTAGGTAGCATGGAGGACCAGGTGGCCTGTTTATAATCCCGTTGTTCATGTTTGTTCTTTCCCTGACCAGGGTATAGTGTCAAGTTGAGAGAGAAAGTGCAAGTTTACATGGTGTGGAAATTAGTTTGGGTAAATACACCTTTCGTGAAGTTGATATGAAATTTTTTTTTTTCATGATAAAGATATACCAAAAGTGTTATAATACAAATATATAAGGTTATGTTTTCCAGCCCCTTCTCAATCATGTCCATTCACCGATTGTACATAGGCGAGTCAAATGAAAACCATAAAACAGATAAAAATTCAAAATATTGTGCCATTGTCCTATAAGTTGGCAGAAATGTTACCAATGCTATAAAGAGTCATTCCTCATCACCAAAACCCAAGAAGTTCCGGACACAGCCATCTGCAGGGAAGACTATGCTGACTCTCTTTATGGACGAACGAGGCGAACTCTTGGAGCACTACATGCCTTGGGTGAACACTATCACCAGTGCCTCATATTCAGATCTCTTGAAGAATCATCTTCGACCTGCAGTCAGATCAAAGCAACGTGGACTTTTGACTAGAGATATCCTTTTGCAACATGACAATGCTCGGCCCCATACTGCCCGTGCAGCAGTTGCAACAATCCAAGACTTGCACTTTGAGTGTCTTCCACATCCGCCACACTCACCAGACTTAGCCCCAAGTGATTACCACATGTTTGGGCCACTCAAAGAGGCGATGGGAGGAAAGCAGTTCCGTTCTGACGAAGAGGTACAGCAGGCGGTGCATGAGAGGTTGCGCAGACTACCACAAGAATTTTTTTCTAGAGGAATCCATACACTTTGTAAACGCTGGAGGACCTGATTTGAACGGAATGGAGACTGTGTAGAAAAATTATATAGTTGTGTACCGTTTTCCTTCAATAAATTAAATTAAAAGAAAAATTACGGTTTTCATTTGACTCACCCTCGTCTGTAGATTATATACTGTACATTTTAGTTCTGAATGCTGATGATCATGTAGTGTTATATAAAATGATCAATTATCTTCTAAACTTAACATCATTATCATTTTGTTGTTTCCTGTTATAATAAACCAGAATCAACGTCTGAAAACAGATTGAGAAGGAGTATATCTGTTTAGCATGTGGCAGGTTTGATTGTTGTACTTTACTTTCAGGTTCGCAATCTATGCTACATGGTGAGTCGGCGAGAGAAGTTGTCACGATCCTTCTTCCGTATGCGTGAACAGACTTTCCACAAACAGGTGGCTGTGCTTAGTGATGCAAGTTGCAGTCTGAAGGGGAAGGAGGTGGCAGCTGTCATAGAGGCGAACCATGGTCCTTCCATTTATGATCGCCTCTACTCAGAACCGAGTGCACTTGATCACAGTGGAGACTTTGACCTAGTGCTGGCCCGTATAGCAGGCATTGCCTCACCCAGACCAGGCAGTGCAGATGAGAAGAGCAAAACAGACTTAAATGGTTTGGTGAAGTGTTCGTCTGACAAGAAGGCATCATTGGAAAACCCATACAAAAGACTGTACTTTAATGGAGCAGGTAGGCGCAGGAGCAGTCTTTATGGCAGCATGTCCAGTGGGAGTGAGACAGATACAGCTGCTCCATCAAGAGGAGGCAGACATCCCAGTGGTAGTGTCTCCATGCGTAAGACTGCCACACGGTTGGGTTTGCCAGACAGTGCAGCATCCAGCACAGAGGAAGAAGAGAAACACATTGTTACTACCGATTCTATTCGAAAGAGACTGCCGTGTAACAAGAAGAACAGCATTAGTGGGTCAAAGACCGTTGAGAGGAAGAGATGTAAAAAGACTTTTATCTCACGGACAAAAGCGGAATCTTCGAGTGAGGAGGAAGAGAAACCTAGTAAAAGCTTGTGGCAGTCTCCACGCAGCAGAACTCTGCGGCAGATGGAACAGGAACTGGGTGATAAGGTATCTGGCAGCGATGACACAGATGATCTCATGTTACCTGTCAAGGCAACTAAAAGTGAGCCAAATAAGATCAATGCTATTTATTCTGACAGCGATTCAGAGCTCTCTTTGAAAGGTGATGCATCAGGTGGTGACAGAAATGAAAGTAAATCTCCTTCCAATATACCGAGTGATTCTCAGCAACATGTGCTACGTACCAAGGCAGCAATGAAAGAGTTCTCAGCAGGTTTGCAGGCCAAAGTTGACAAGTCTGCACAGAAAAACAGCACAAAACTCCCAAGGAGCTTAAAGAAGGAAAAAGAAGTTAAGCAGGAAGACTCAATGGATGATGATTTCATTAAAGATAAAGAAAATGTTAAGTCTTCTAGAAAGAAGGAATATGATCCCACTGACCTTATTGTTCCTCAAAGACAAGCTGCCAAGAAGGCAACAGAAAGTATACGGTGCTCTCAGGGGAGAACTAAAGAACAGATTCTGTTTGAACAAGAAGCTTTTAAAGTATCTTCTAGCAATGATGAATCAAAGGTGAAACAGAAGGTAAAGCACAAGACAAAAGATTCGAAAACTCAGAAAGATGGTAAATCTGGCAGTGATGTATATGACTTTGAAAAAGATAGCAGTGATCCTCAGGAGATACTGGCATATGTTCCTCAGAGGCAAGCAGCCAAGAAGGCTGCAGCACACATCAAGAGCGGAATGTCAAAACCTGTGGTTGGAGAGCCTGATGCAGAATCTCTCAGAACAAAGAAGGACCCTGCGGAAGTAAAGTGCAAGAAAGAACCAGAGGTGTCAAAGAACAAGAAAGAGCAAGAGTCTGAGAAGTGCAAGAATACAACAAAGATTTCGGACTCCAAGGTAAAATCATCTTCAAAATCTCACGAAATGTTGTCATCGTCTTCAACATCCAGTTCTTCAGATGTCTCCTCATCGTCAAGTACAGATAGTGATCACGAAATAGAAGAAAAACTGAAGCCCAGTAGTAAGTGTTTCAAGAAGGATGCCAAATCAGACAAAAAAGCCACTATAGAGGCATTGTTCTCTACCCAGAAAGAAAATAGTGATGTATGTGATAAGAAAACAAAACCAGTGAAGGAAAGGAAAAAAGCTAACAAGAGTGTGGGAGACTGGCCCTTTGTTGACAAGGTTGATCAGCCTATGGAAAACAGTTCTTCTTCCAGTGACTCAGATACTGATGATAATGTTGTCTGCACCAAGATGCGGCAGAAAAGCCGTATCAAGCCTCCAGAAGAGAAAAATATTCCCTCCTCTAGGTCAAAGCCCAAGTCATCAGATGTCGAGGACAGAAAGGGGCCTAACTCAAAATCGGTTGGCAAGAAATTTAAGAAGGCGCCTGACAAGAAGCTTAAAACTTCCGACAGGCGGCCTGAACTTGAGTTTCAGCCGCCGATTGTTGAGAGAGATGAACCATCACGAGCCAAAGAGAAACCCGGGAGGGGGCGGAAGCTTGAAGCACACAAGACACTTGGATCAGGTGAGAAAGATAGGGTCAGAAATGCTGACAGTCGATCAGGAGATTTGCCTGGTCCCAAAAATCGAGACGATTCCTCCCCCTGTGATGAAGCATCAAAAAGAGAGCAAGTCCCTGGAAGCAGACGCAACCGATCGCGTACTCCGAGAGTTGAGGAGCAGCCGAAGCGGAGCACAGAGAGAGAATCAGATGCAGAGAGAGGGGTCCATAAGAAAGACCAGTACAGGCAGCATGAGGCAAGGAAGAGAAAATCAAATGAGGTCGAACGTCCTGTGTCAACAAACATGTGCCGTGACACTGTCAGTTTGCCAAGAAGTGGTGATTCAACAGCAGAAATATCGCCCCTTAAAGAGAGAGCCCAGTCCAGTGAACACATGTCACCTTCGACCAAGAAAACTGAAAAGAAACTAGACGTAGATGGGAAAAGGTCTGGAAGAGTGCCACAGGAGGCCACACCTGGCAAAGACTCTCTGGGAAGTCAGCTTGAAAGGGAAATCAGTGAGAGAAAAGCAGGGCGTGAAATTCTGGGGAAGAAGACATCAAAAATGACCCTAGACAAGCTGTTCTACACGAAACCCACAGAAAAGGAAGGAAAGCAATCAGATAAAGATGGGAAACTTGCAGAGAGAGGGGAAGACATGGTGGTATGTAAGCAGTCTGGAAAACATGCAGAACGAGATGGAGACAGGGTAGTACAAAAACAATCTGGGAAAACAGCACAGGAGAAGGAAAGTAAGAAAGATGCCGAAAAGAATGTGACTTCGAAACATGAAAAACATAAATCTCCCGAGTCGCATGTAAAAGTATCAGCAGTTGATGAAACCTCATCTAAAAGAACATGCAGAGATAAAGACATGAGTGAGAATCATGATGTCAGAAAGATAAATAAAGACCAGGGGTCACAAATGGACAAGGACACAACACCCAAGGCTTCAAAGCATAACTCAGTTATAACTTCAAATATGGACAAAGATATGAAAGACACTGTGATTCGAAAGGTAGAGAAGTCAGTTGTTGCTGAAACAGAGGAGAGAGAACATGTGCTGAAGAAGGATGAGATAAAAAAGCCTGAATTCCGTAGTCTGAGTGGTGATGATCTAGCAAAGGAAATGAGAAGAGGGCCTATTGAGTCTGGTGAGGAAGATGACAGGACAAAGAAGAAAGTGAAACCAATGCCCAGGTGTAAGAAGAAGGCATTGGGGATTCTCAGTGATGCAGATGGTAGTCAAGAAGAACAAGGCAATATTTCAGAGCAGAGAGTAGAAGACACATTGGATGGAATCAACCCTTCTTCCACTAACCCAGAAGAAATTCCTGTGGTGTCTGTAGAGTCAAGTGGACAGCCTACAGATCAGCAGAGTACGAAGGAGATGGTAGCTCCAGTTCTTACACCTGAATTGACTCACCAGGAAAGCAAGACAGCTGCAAATTCCTCATTCACACTGATGCCCCATCTTGAAAAGGCCTGTGCTTTAGACTTGGGCAGTGAGTTACAGGTTCCTGAAAAAGAAGCTCCTGAAGCAAAGAAAATTACTTCCCGGTCATCATCTCTGAATGTTCCCACCTATCCACAACGTTCCATATTCTCTCCCCAACAGCCATCAAAAGATCCCCCTGTGTCAGAGCTGTTTGACTTTGAAAATGATATTTTGGCTGTCGACGAAACAGTTAACGATGGTGGGTTTTCCATTGCTCGTGATTCCGAAGAGATCATGCGAGCTCCGCCACTCACTTTCTCCTTCAGCAGTGAATTCCTGTTTAAAGAAGATTCAAAAGAGGATAGTGCAAGGGAAACGCATCTTCTGGTAGAGAAACTAAGGCTAGAATATGCCAAGAAGACTACAACAAATGTGATTCCACCTGAAACTGCAGAGAGCCTGGCTCCAGTTCCAGATGAAGGTACAATACATTTGGATGATATTAGTGATGAGAAACCTGAAAGCCAGCTTCAGGTCATGGATATTGTTGAAGGAAATGCCTCTGAACCCAAGGATGAGAAGCCCCCTGAAATAGATATCGATGTTAAGGTAGATGTTCCTGCTAATGTGGATTGTTCTGTGGACAGTGCATTGCCTGTGCCCCATGTAGATTCTCATGAACCTCAGCCTGCGGAAGAACACATGGACAAGAATGATGTTCCGCCATATGTGGGTGGAGAAGCAAATGGCCCATATGACTATCATGCATGCAACATGCAGTTGGAAGTTGCCAAGGTGTCAATTCCAGGACGTGAGAAGTTGGACAGGAGTAACAGTGCTCAGGCGGATGAGCGCTGGGTGCCCCCAAGCATGGACTTTGTGTCACAGCAGTCCGACCAACACCATGGCCTCATGCCCCCACATCACTATGAAACACTTCCACCAGCACCTCTTGACTGCACACCCGCACCCTCACCTTACACTGATCTCCGGAATCGAGCCAAGTGGACGGAGAGCGAGATGATCCCTGCTAGACGTTCATCATCCTCATCTGCGTCCTCCACCTCATCATCATCTCACCGAGAAGAACCTGACCCAACCAAACGTGATGATCTCCACCTTCCTCCCCACACACCATCAAGTGCTGAACATGCCTCATATCAGGGGTTGCACCCTGGCCTTCCACCCTATCTCACCGATGCACCCCCATATCACCCTTACTCAGAAGCATCTCCCTTTGTTGGATCTGTTGCCCTGTTTCCCCCTCCAGCTTGTACCCAAATGCCATATCCATCTCCTAGTGGTATGTATCCTCCTTTTGGTCCCCCATTTCCTACACCCCATTCTCTGTTGGCACCTGTACCAAAGCCCCCAGAAGATCCACCCCACATGCCACCACCTTGTGCTGCTGCCTTCACATCATCATCACACAACATGGCACTGACTGCTGCCATGGTTTCTCCTCCACCATCCATAGCCACCCCCAGTCTTCTTCCTCCTGCACCATCACCTGTAATGCATTCAGAGCCCCCTCTCACTCCATCATTTGTTCCACCACAAGAATCCATCCAGCAGATGTCCCTCCAAATGTCACCATTGGGGAATAACAGAGGACCTCCAGACCATCATCATTCTTCCCCAGCTGCACATCCAGTCCCCACTCCACCCTCTTCAGCACCAACACCATCACCTGCACCTCCAACACCACAACAATCACCGCTACCGCCACGACCTCCTCCACCACCTGTGTCACTTTCAGAATCACAGACACCCAAAGTAGCATCCAGTAGCACTGCTGCTGGGAAGAAATCGCCTGCGAAGCCAACACGAACCTCAGCTCGTTTTATATCTCAGCAAGGCAAGTCACCTGGCAAGTCTCCGCGACAGCAGGACACAGCATCAAGTAAAGCCCCAGCACAGAGTCGCCTCCGTGAAACTGGGAGTAGTAAGCGTAGTAGTGCCAGTGGCAAGCTGGTCAACCGTGTAATGTACAACCAACCACGAGGGGGCCGCAGGGGTCGAGGACGTGGCAGAGGGCAACACATGCCACACTTCGCAGAATCAGACTTCAATACCATACACAGCAAGCTTGTAGGTACAGTGTATGATTTGGAATTTGATGATGACTCCCCAAGTGAGAGTGTGGAGAACTTGCGGGCTATGAGGGAGAGACGCCGCTCTACGGACATGCATGAGAGGAAGCTCTCGGAGAGCACATTCCTGTCGCGTGACTCTCCACCATCGCCCAAGTTTACCAGTCTACTGCATCAGGTGCCAAACTCGAAGTTGCGCAGCTCTTACACTGCAGATATTCGGGACCTAAGACCCCCTTCACCACTGCCTGGTCTCCGTTCATCTGCTGATGAACTGCTTCCCCTACAATCTCCAGTCAACAGCACAAGTTCTGACAGGCTGGAGCCATTCCCTGATGTGGTGCAACCTCTTCTTCCTGGTCCTGTTGACATGCGCACATACAGCTCATCCTATGAACCCACACCTAGCAATAACCCAACACCTTATCATAACCACTTGCTTGGAACATCATTTAGCACCTCAACTGCTGAACAGCATGTCGCCGACTTTGTGGAGGATTTGGAGAAGGAGCTGCACTCAGCTCTTGCTGCCAGAAAACCACCAGAACCACAGAAATTCACGGATGAGGTTTCAAAACAGACTGATGAGGCTCTGGTGAGCAATGCAACGAATGATGTTTCATCCAGCAACAAGGTATCTCTGTCAGATTCACGCAACCAGCTGAAGGTGAAGATCAAGGGCCCCTTCCTTGATGCAAATTATGCTGCAGCATCAGCTGTACCGCCACTGACCCAGCAACAACCGTTGCTGCCAGTGATGCCTCCACTGGATGCAATTGCAGTCTCCAACATCATTCCTGCTGCCACCACAGCCATTTCATCAGCAGCATCATCTTCAGGGACTTCCAACCTGCGTCGCATGCGCAAGAAGGAATTGCTCCGTCAGTATTGTTCGCAAGATATGAACATGGATGACCCCGCAGGTGGGGCTGTGACTGGCCAGGCCGTGGCCCCAACTGCCGCACCTCCTGTCAATCGAACTGTTATAACCATCCCCAAGGCAGTTGCATCTATGACTTCAATACCAACTCGTGAAGACTACAAGGCTGTCGTAGATGCAAATATGGAAAAGAAACGGCGAAAAGAAAAAGCGATCACCTCATCTATTTCAGTTCCCAGGGAACTGAGACATTTGGACTTACCTCTGGACCAAGATGATGCATGTCCCCCTGAAAGGAGGCGGAGTGTAGGGTCAACAGGCAGTAACGCTTCCTCAACTCATCAACATGACAGTATCACACCACCCATGAAGAGACGAGGCAGGCCACCCAAATCTGCAGTGCCTGCATCAGGGCCCATATTGGTTTTAGCTCCTAAACTCAAAATAAAGATTGGTAACAATATAATTGGCGCTCCAGAAGCAGAAAGCAATGTAGAGGAGAAGAAACTGCGAGTTCGACCACCAAAGAAGAGACTCACCACCAGTGTCCCGATGCCGACTGTGGAGGAACTGAAACGGGAGAGCATGAAATTTCGTCGTATGATCATGGCTGACTTTGATGAAGCAGAGAAGAAGCAGAGTAAAGTGATTGCAGGCAAACGTCGCAAACAGAGACAGTTTGACTCCTCACAACATGAAGTGCAGATCATCACAGCAGATGAGAGAGTGAGTGCACCGAAACTCATAATCAGGATTAACAAACGAAGTGCAAATAGTGTCAGTAACAGTGGTGCAAACACTGCAGGTGGCATTGGATCCACTCCAGTACCACAATTAAGCGAGGAAGTAGAGAGCCGAGTTGGTATCTCTGCCTTTGTCAGTACTAGAGCGGATCCTTCTGCCCCCCCTGGCAGTGAAAATGAAGGGCATCCCTCCACAAATGTGGCTAGTATCGTTGCAGACGGTAACAGTGATGGCAAGGGCTCAGACCTTCTGAATGTACGGACGTCCAAAGTAACCCCAATTCGTTTAAAACTAGCTCGGTGTCAGGAAGGTTACATTATGAAGACGCAGCCGAGCCAGGACACTGCAACGTCAGACAGTGCAACACGAAACATCGCAGAAGATGGTGATAGCAGTACTCTGCCCACAAAAAAGGTCTGTGAGGTTAGGTGATGAATGTGGTAACCTAATTAATTTATAGTGATCTGACAATGTGTAGCAATCTTTGTAGGGTATCACTAAGTGATCTCCCTATGAACACCAGGACTGCACACTTAAAGTGTGCTGAGACTTGTACAAAGGTGACTGACACATAGCTTTTAAAATCAGTAGTGTTTTGCCAAATGTTTTAAATTAAATTTATTATCCAGTTTCCAATTTGTTCTCAGTTCACGTTGTTAATCTTTGAATGAGGATGTGTGATGTGGTATTTAACTCTTTTAGACACTCTGTATATTTGCACAGTGTATGTAGCTTAGAAAGAAAAGTTTAGTGTACAAAAGTCAATTACTGGTTCAAGACACGAATTAATATTTTTGTACATATTGTAAGTGTTAACAAAGTGTGTGAATATAGTACTGTATTTGTAAGTTTATATTTTATTTAAAAGATATGGTTTGCAAAATTTGTTAAAGGTATTTAACAAGTAAAACTTCTAAATCTGTAAAAAGCAAACTCTTAACAAATGACTTGTGTGTTATTCATGATGAAATGAAACATTTGGCTGCTTCAGGATCAAGGGGCTCTGTTAATGGTTGTGATGTTGCCACCGTATCTTTTGATGAAATGTTAAACATTAATTTTACTGGATGCATGTATGTATGCTGGCTTAACTAAATGCAATCCAAAGTTGCCATTTTGAAAACAAAAGTGTACCTGTCTGCTGATTGAGTGGAAGTCGTGTTCAAAATTCTTCTTTGACATATATACATATATATATATATTATACACACACATGTACATATATATCGCGATGACCTTCTTGCCGAATAGGCACATTTGTATATCTAAAATGTAGTAATGCCCCAGGAGAGTTAGAAACTGTTGAGTGATTGGATATAAGTTTAACTGAGACTGAAATATTTTAGAAATGTTTGCAGGATATACTGGTAATGGTTATCTGTACCTCACGTTGCAATAATACTTTGTTTTCTATATGTAAATATATATACAGTGCGCTGGAACCGGGCGGTGGCTTGACGAACATGATAGCACAAGCCATTTGTTCATTTTGTCTCAGTGTGCACATAGTACTTTTATATAATATCAGAAACATGTTTCACATTTTTCATGTTTTTTAGGCATCATTCTTTCGTTTCATTGTTTTATTTTGTATTTGTATAAAATCTAAGAGCCCCCTCTCTCCATCTCCATTTTCTTTATGTAAGAAAGCATTCTCTCTCTCTCTCTTTTATTCAAACTACATTGTACAAACATTAATCGTTTTGTACAGAGAATATTTGTTTTTAATTATTTTTCTCATGATTACAAAGAAATTATATGTTATTGTAAATAGTGTAAAAGTGATGCTGGTCCTGTAAGATAAGGTGTTGTAATGTGCACATAGATGCATCGTCAAATACAAATCTTTTTTTAGAACGAGAATATAATAGTACCATTTCTTTTTGTATACTTTGTTCTTAACTTGTGTTCTGCAGGTTTACATATCCACACAGGCGTATCATCTGCGATTATTTCGATCTTGTCAGAAGAAAATTAACTCAATGTACTTTGATAACTTCACAAATTACTGCAGAGGCACAGTCAGTATGGATAAAAGGTTCTCTATGTCTTTGACCTTTGAGAAAACAATACCTTCCATTTTGGTATGGGAAATTCCATCTCAAAAAATAAAATTACCCCAGAACATTTGCCAGCCTATACTGTAAGATCCTGTTTCCTTCTTGAAGTGTTTTGAGGCTGCGTTTTTGATGTGTCACAAGGCACTAGCAAAGTATATACTTAGCATTCCATTATTTATCACAGAATATGTTGGATATATGAAATTGTTGCTAGATAAATATATTAACAAATATTCAGAATATCTGGCTGAATAAATTTTCGTACAATTTTTTGTCAGGCTTTAAAACATGCGTTAGTGAATTACATTTTGGGCAGCTGAAGAAAATCCGAACTGCAACTTCACTTCTGTAACAGATATTAGTAAATGCCCACCAAAAGGAACACCTTTTCATTTTAAAGGAGTAGGCACCAATAAAATTTATATTGTATTTTATTGAAGTGAGAAATTTTGGAAAGAACTGGCTGCTTGCTTTCCGTTACATGCTTCCATCTGCATAAAGGAACAAACAAAAATTAATAATTAATAAAATGTACTGACATCTCTCTACCATAATTTGTCCAGTGTAACCTTATATTTGCACTTCTGCAATATTTTGTAACTTCTAGCATACAAGGTTTCCTACAAGATTTGCTTTTATCATTTGCATCCTTGCTTAGCTGCATGATTCATTATTTATTGCTGTCAAGCAGAAAGCTGACAGTAGATGTCGTATAGTTACCATGTTATTCTGTATTCTCCAAAAATGAAATACCCCAAACAGTAATTGAATGTCTTGAAAGTCTGCTGTCTCACACGATATCAGTGGTCAGCATTAAGTGACATCACGGAGTATGATCCCAAAACCGTGGCCATAGTGTTGATATTACCCCAAGATAGGGCATTGCATAGTGGTGAGCAGGAGGTGGTGCTCTTGGACTGTTTGATGTTCATGCAGGACTTCATGAAACTCCACTTAATGGGAGGGAAATTTGAATGTGTTCCAATTATCATGTCATTCCTCATTAACAAGGAAGTGAAAGTTCCTGCACTTAATTAATTCAGTGCCACTCCATGAAGACATGGGGGGAGTGGAGTTATAGCTCCACCATTTTTTAACTCAACACTGTACCACACCCTGTACGCCTTGTGTAGGAGGCCAAGTAGACCCCAGAGCCAGTCCAGGCACTGTGTAGAAGAGAAAAACCTCTTGCCCTGCTGAGCTGTAAAGTAGGCTAAAATATTAAGCTATCCCACATCTGAATCAGGCAATAAAGTGTTAAGCTCTCCTTTGTCTAAAACAGATACCAGAGTGTGAACTTATCCTTTATCCAAAACAGGTGATAACATAGTTATTGCTGTATATAAAATGGGCAATAAAATCTAAGGTTTTCCATACGTATATAACTTTATATAATTTGAAAATGTCGATTATCTACAATGTGTGATGAAGTGTGAAGTTACTCATTAAAATAGGCAATGAAATGTAAAAATTATACCTGTATCTAAAACAGCTGATAGCATGAAAAGGTGTCCATTGTCTAAAACATAAAGTAGGAAGTTATTCCTTTATTTACAACAGGTGATGAAATATAAAGCCATACTCAATAAGTGGCCACTATCTGTACACAGAATAAATGCACACAGACATCCATGCTTCAAGTAGGATTCGAACCCATGATCCCAGTGTTCAAGAGGGCAAAGACTGTTTGGCAAAACAGCCCTTTTTGATCAACAACCTTCCTTATAAGATTCTTCCAGATTGCAGCCATTTTTCACTTTTTTGGATTCTGCATCAATATTTATATAGATCAAGGTTGTCAGCGTTGTACTCAACTTCCAACCTGAAGGACCAGGTCTCTGTGTCCCCCAGTGGTAGGGTGGCCCAGTTATATTCCTAGGTACCCGGTCCCCTTTTGTCACCTATGACTCGCAGGGCTACCGTGGAGGTATTCTAACCCGCCGCCTCCATATGGGGAATAAGCTAGAAATAATCACAAATAAATTTAATATTACATCTCTACACCAGAACACAGGACAAAATCAAGCCAAAAGAATAGATAATAAATTATTTGAAAATGTGGAAAAAATGTAACCCAATGTAGTAGTGCAAAATAATGACATGTAAATTATATTTTAAAAAGATATTAGTATATAATGCAGAAACATGGTCCCTTACAAAAGGAAACAAAAACTAAATCCAACCAAAGGGTGTGAAATCTCTTAGACATATTGACCGAATGACAGGAAAGAATTGAATTGAAAACAAAACCTATAGAGAAGAATATGGAATTCATCATTTGTTAATAGACATAGAAGAGCAGCTGTTACAGTAGTTTGATCACTTAAAAAGAATGGATAGAAGAAGAATTCTAAGAGGGACATAATAATTGGAATGTACAGGAAATAACCTATGGGATAACCCAGGAAAATATATTCATACAACGGAAGACACACACAGAATCCAAATGTTTCCTCCATTAATATGAATATGATCTTGAAGCAGTTCATTTCTGCTTCTCACAACTAATTTCCCCAAGATATATTTTAGTATTATTCTCCAATTTTTTCGTTCTTACAACTAGCATATATCCAAGAGGTTTAATCTCATAGAACAAATTCATAATGATGTTGCGCTAGATAATAGTAGCACCGTGAACCGATAGAGCGCTGAACTCGCTGGTTGTAAGGGGGGGGGGGGCAGTGGTAATTCTGCCGGTATGTGGATCTGCCAACAGTAATCGCTCTGTCGTGAGCTGTTGTCATTTTCACGAAACAGATGATTATTTAGACAAGCTGAAACCCTCGTTTTGCATTCTTTCATTATTCGGTACAATGATGTCGTGATTGGATTTTGAACGTGCTGGGCCCGCTAAATTGTGTATGCATTTCTTGTTTTCCTCCAGTCGAACTCGATCAAAGCCATTGCGTGAAAACTTCTGTAGAAAATACTCTTTCTGGCCGAGAACCTGAGAGTATCAGTTTGACTGGAGCAGGTACTCCAAAAACGCCGTTACGTATAGTGCGGTCGCATCAATACGACACGATCAATATGGGAGGCGGTGGCGCACGAAACTAAATAGTAGAGAGCCAGCCGGGCCACCACACGATCATGCAGCCACCGCCGCGGAAGGTGAGTAGTATCTCGTATTACACACAATGTGAGTTAGGCGCATTCTTTTGGGTTCACACAAGTTAATTTTGGACGCATTGCTCATTCTCTTCTAAATATGACACAGGACACAGCGACTAGAGGTTTCAAGTTTTACATTTCTCGCTCCGCGCCCTCTCTCAATCAATATCACGTTTGTTACGTTTCCTAACTAATATTTGCTATCCTGCTCTCAACAATGTCATCCGTGTAACCGATTCAAAGCTCAAATGTATTCCTCTCGACCTTCATATCGATTGCAAGATGTCGGCCAAAAACCCTTGTCTTAACAAGATTTTGTTCTCTTGCCCCCTCCACTCCCCCCCACCCCAAATCCATGATTTGAGTTTTCTCAGATTTCGAAAGTTGCTACCATCAATATAACAATTTTTGAACAAGCTACGTTTACTCGGATATCACACCTTGCTGGGTATTACTTGTATCTCTGGCACATTTCTTACGAAATTGAATTGTTATGTTTGTACTGAAGTATCAGCTGGTCTTGATTACTTCCTAATGATGACAATCGTTCTGAAGGAAGGATTGATCCCAGGCAGTGGAAATGAAATGGCTTCTTGGGTTAGGTTAGTAATGTCAGAAAATGGTCGACTCTGAGGGCTAGAGCTAGCAATTAGCGTCCACGGGCACAAGTTTTTGAATCAACTTACGTCACTGCACGCTTCACAATATAATATTCTTTTTAACGGGTGTGATGTAGGCATCTAAGAGAAATGCAATTTTCGCCATTTTTGCCATCAACATGGTAGCCTGGCGTAATATACAACGCCGGAAACTGTATTAGTTCTGGAATTCCAAAAGAGGGAGGATTCGCCACATCTATAGCTCATTCTTATAAAGACCGAGATTTTCACATGACTTTCAACTTTCCATATATGTACGATTATATATAAAAAAAAATGTGCAAGCAATAAGCAGAAGTCATACAAAATAATAAGAATGAACATGTTCGTTGTATAGGACAAGGCGAAACCAGAAGCTTAAACATGGCTTTGGTTAAGCTTACGACCGTTCAAGTGAATAATCTGCCGTTGTGACATAAGATTCGTAAGTCAGGTATGGTCTACGTTGCAAAGTCTGCACAGACAGAGGACTTGTATGAAGCTTAAACATGGCTTTGGTTAAGCTTACGACCGTTCAAGTGAATAATCTGCCGTTGTGACATAAGATTCGTAAGTCAGGTATGGTCTACGTTGCAAAGTCTGCACAGACAGAGGACTTGTATGAAGCTTAAACATGGCTTTGGTTAAGCTTACGACCGTTCAAGTGAATAATCTGCCGTTGTGACATAAGATTCGTAAGTCAGGTATGGTCTACGTTGCAAAGTCTGCACAGACAGAGGACTTGTATATAGTGAAAGAAAGAAGAATTTTCAATAATATGCATATTCATGAAAGACAATCCCATCTTCTCGTTAGAGAGAATGTTACAAGGACTAAGACCACAAGGGTTCAGTTGAAAAAAAAATCTCTGGTCACGATCCTCAAGGGGCTTGGCGTAAAGACCAACTGATTGGTGGTATACCCCCGACCATAAAGTAGCTCTGGCTCTCTGTGAGCGAATTAGTTGGCAGTGAGTTAGTTGTGAGACAGTCGCCAACCGGTAAGAACGTGAGCACGGAAGCAGATGACGTTTTTGAGATCCATCACCACGCAATGAGTGGTGAAGACACAGCAGGCTGAGAAAGCTTGGTGTGTCCTATAGTGGTTTGTGAAATTTAGTAACGAGTTCTATAAGTGTGTAATAAACCCGATTACCAATCAAAACCCCGTCTACAGTCACTCTAAAATCGTGACAACATTAATAAGTTTCTATATGCAAACATTACACACCGAGCAAGTCGTCTCAAGTGGTAACGCTTCAATCTTGCATTGAGGAAGTTCCCGCTTCGAATCTCGCTCGCGACATCGATCATCCTGAGTATTTCGACTGGTTTCCAGAATTTTTCCAGGCAAATGCCGGAGTATTGACTCAAATTAGACCACTATCAATTCCTTCCATATTCTTTTCAATTCAGCTTTCACTATGCATCCTGCCTATCGACGCTATATAACCTGAGATTCTGACAGCGTCGCTAAATAACCCGTAAATAAATAAATAAAAAGTTAGATAAATAGTATAATCTAAAGAAACCTAAATAAATGTATGACAATTACTAAAATACACTTGCATTTACTATTAATGAGAAATGTGCTTTTATTTATTTCATTGTGCACAAAATGACAGAAATTTTATTTCCAAACAAGCTAATGTGGGAAAAAGCAAGTTCCTCTCCAAAATTATAAAGTAAGTAAAGTAAAGTAAAGCTATCCTCGTATCAGGCCGTGAATGCCCATAGGGTCGTGAGACGTTGCGGGTCCCACATTGCTTAGAGTCTAGGCAATGTGGGACCCTTGACAATCGGCTCAAAGATGGCGGTAAGGTTGTCAGCCTTACGCGCCGGCCGCGCTTTACTCCCCAGGAAAATCATTTAATTAATTCCTGGTACTCATTTCTGTTAGAGGCTGAGTGAACCGCCTGGGCCTAGTGCGGCTGGAAGGATTAGGCCAACTGAAAAAACAATCCAACGACCTCAACGGGACTTGAACCCGCGACCTTCCGGCTTGTAGCATAGCTCCTCAACCACTAAAAATTATATCCCTCTTTAAACTTTTCGTTAGAAGACAGATAAGGTCATGAGTGTTAGTATTGTCCGACAGCGCAGCATTTCGTGTTTCGGGTAAGTGTACAAGGAACAGCTTCCGAATTTTTACTTCCCTTGATTCGGATTTGACTCACAGCAATGGCGCTGAGATTTCTCCCTTCACTGCTATTTTTTTTTTCAATGAGCCGGGTAGCAGATTCAATACAGTAATAAAGTATCAAAGATCTGGGGTTCAATTCCCAACTGGGTCGGAAATTCTTCTCCTCCTTCCTGCATCCAGAGTGGCCGTAGCGTCCACCCATTGGGTGCCGGCAGCTGTGGTTTGACGCCAACGCTCACCTCCATTTCGTACCCAACCTCAAAGAAATGTTGAGGTATATATTCACACGACGGCCAAGGCCCATAGTGGGCTGTAGTGTCAATCCATTACCTGTTAAGCACTGTGTCCACAGATAAAATGCGCCTTTTCACAGACAGGTAGCTCGGAATATCGCTGGATCTGTTTCCAAGACAAGACTGCGCACATTACCACATTCATGGCCCTATACGCCTTCGTGACTCATGTTTCAGGGGAATTACGCCAAGTTCCTGAAGACCCTGCACTCGGAGCAGGTGACAAAGCTGCAAGCCAAGAACCAGCATGAGTGCGACTTGCTGGAGGATATTCGGTGAGTATTGCGTCACTGACCAACCGCGATTGACATCATCCTTAAATTTGCGCATCAACTTAAAGAGATAAGTAAGCATTATAACTATGTTGGAAGTTTCTTGGCTGCGGTGTGACACGTTTCTGTAGGACAATCGGTATAGCGACTGGCTACGGGCTGGACGGCCGAGAGTCCGGAATTTGAGTCCCGGTAGGGAAAGATTTTTTTATTCTCCACGTCTTCCAGACCGGCTCTGGGGCCCACCCAGCCTCCTATCCAATGGGTACCAGGGGCTCTTTCCCGGGAGTAAAGCGGCCAGGCGTGAAGCTAACCACTCATCACCAACTAGTGTCGAGGTCAGCAATAAGTGGATATATACTCCACTCTCCTATACATACGATTATTCATGGCGTAGTGATTAATTAGTTAAGCACGGGACGACTTTGCCTTTTTATCTTAATATGTTACGTATGCTCCCAGGTTCTCTGTGTGCTGCTACGTACGTTATATCGCAGAGCTTAAGGAGGGCTGTGAAGGCGGCAGGCGAACAGTATTCACCATACATCAGCTAATAAAAGGGGTTTTTTGGGGGTAGGGGGAGGTTCAGTGACTCCACAACCTGCTCTGTTGTGACAGTAGTCACTCTATGTCCAGTCACTAGCCTGGGTAGATCATTTAAACACATATTGCCATATAACCAATAGCAGAATGAAAAACCCTGTTACGTAGACTGCCTTTAAGTTATCGGTATCAAGTATAAAAGTCGGCTGACAAATTGTCAGCATGTGAACCATTTGAGAAAAATGGTGTAGATGGGTTAGGAAAAACAGGAATTGTTTTTTGTACCACGACCGAAATTTATGAAAATTGCTCCACGTCGCCATGTGCCTATTAACCGTTCTCTTTAAGAAATCGCATTAACTACAGAAACAGGGTCTTACAAATCCTGAACGCTAAAATATTGTCAGGTTATTTTACAATGTACACCAAAGCTTAGTACAGTAACCACATGGGAGACTTAGGTGTAAATGATAGTATAGTATTAAGGTGGGTGTTATAATGTTGCAGGATGTGAACTTGATTAATCTGATTCGGGCTGCTTCAAATGGCAAGCTTCTATTAAAATGGTGACGAATATTAGAATTCTATAACAAGAAGGAATTTCTAACACTCGTCCCAGGAAACCAGCCATGATGTTGGTATTTTCTCTTGTTTACAATCTAGCACCAGAAAATGGCATCACGCTCGGCCCTCCAAAAAGTGCGAGAGTATTACATTTTCATCTCTGACTTCAATCCGCCACCTATGGAACACCACACCGTACCTTTTCGTTCTTCTACTTTTTTCGGACCTTATCACCTCTCCATATCAGAGAGATAGAATGGGATTGATCTGGCTCAGGTTATGGACGATGGAGGGCTCTTGTGAACACGGCAATGTACCTTCGGGTTCCATAAAATGCTGGGAAGTTCTTGAGTAGCTGCACAATGGGCAGTTTCTCAAGGAGGGCTCAGCTCCATGAGTGAGTGGGTATCACCTCCCCAACATCTGAAAAGACTTTTATCGCTTTTACATTATCTTAAATGTTCAACAATTGCATTTCTCTTAGAAAATTTCATATGATGTAGGTTGAAAGCTCTGTTTTTACTCAAGCGATATATTAATTTGTTGACGATTTTTTTTTTTTTTTTTAAGTAAAAAACTTCTGTGCGGTTGTACATTTTNTACAGAGAAGCGTTCCTAATATAAAATTCTATTGTGAGATATAACGAGGACGTATGCAAACAAAAATAAGAACGTTCCTTCGTGCTCACGTGTTTATATGAGGGGTTTGTACAGAAGAATGCTGGTATTTCGAATCTGAGTATTTACTAAGACAGTATAACAAAAGAAACCATGGCTCAGAACACTAAAATCTTCCTTCAGGTTTTTCTTTTTTTATGTACAACTTATCCCGTGAGTTCTCTTCAAAATTCATTCGGCCGCTCATGCGGAAGGCAGCTTCAATAGTATTCACTGAAATAAGCCGAAGAAAGCATGCATGCTAAAGTGTAAAATCATGTTACAGACCTATAGATTCAGGTCGGAGGAAGCTTCATTCAATAATCGATGGAAAATTAAGAGACTTCTCTTATCTTTGCTTATGTCTAGCAACCCGTTATCGATTGCTGTATAGTCGTTGCTCCTGATTAGAAACGGTTTTTGAAAGCTGAAAGTGTACGTTAGATATTATTTGCGTAACTTTACCATACCTGTTTAATTACCGATGTCTAAAGAGCTATAACACTTGTGGAAACTGTATTGGACATAAAATGTGTTATACTTTTTCAATGACTTTCTTTAGAAATACTGTTTACTATGTTATGCGATGCTTGGAGAGTCAAAGTTATTCATTTAAAGTGACCATTATTGATGCATGATTTTAATAAAAACTGGAACTTGTCGACGGATGATAATAGAACTTTACAGTATCGAATTTAATGAACATTCGTTATTGGTTCTTGAGTTTAATGACTGGGGACAGATATAATGACGAACCGAAAGTTTGATGAGGCGCCTGCATGAATACGAACATAACCAAAGAATGAAGTAGGCGGTCCTCTGGACTGTAACGCTAGTTAGTTCGCTTAAATCCCGACGTTACGGATTGACATAACGCTTCCATCTTCAGGGTTGAAGAGTAAGCTAAGCTTGCCGCCCACATATGCAAGGTTTCTTGCTTGACACACTCTTCGACCAGGAGGAGGGAAATATGTGCCTCCGAAATACATGGCGTTACAACCTAGAAGACTGTACTTTTTCTAGTCACTATAGTGAGAGCTCCAGATCCAACACACACACTGATCATGTTTATTAAGCCAAGAATGATATTTGTGGAACATGGAATACAATGAACTTAATGCCCTATACGATATCTATAAAATGTCAATAACATATAAGATACATATCTCCTATATGCTTAAAATCTCAGACCAGAACTGCAGAAACATTTGTCTATTTGACATGCTGACGTTCTGAATTAAGAAAGACTGATGGAGGGTACAGAAATACTTGTAGGAAACATACTGTGGCACTGTGTATCAGTTCTCTTAAGTGTCTAGGAGATTCTGTTGTATTTCCGGAGTTTGTATTTGTATTTGTTGTATTTGTATTTGTATTTGTGTTGTATTTCCAGACAAATAATTGGATTGCAATGTTGCGGCTATCCCAGGCTCTTGGCTCTCATTTCAGTCCACAACCTTTACATATCCCATGTATATTCAGATACCCTGCAAACCTGTGAATATTGCAGTCATTAGACAAGGAACATCAAATCTCTAAGAATATATGTGCCAAGACCGCAGAGCATCTCTTACAGTTTGTTTGTAAATATTACGAATATTTTGTGGGAGAGTTCACAATTACATGTAGCATGTTATATATAAAGTTACACTGGTCAAGTTTCTTATAATCCATGCCTTTCTTTTCAGAAACTTCACTTTGAAACGTTCAGCAATAGAAAAATCGTACTCAGAGGTATGTTGCATGTACTTTGACATTCTTCAGCTTAGAGTTTCACATTCTGTTTGAAGTCTGGAGAGATAAATTTAGAGATTTTATATTCTCATAGCAGTGAATATGAAGATTAGTGTCTTCTGGGATGTAACACCATGCAGTTTGGTAGATTTTGGAGAATATGATACCTGTGAAGTGGCATGGGAAAGAATTGTTAGTAATGCAAGGAACAATGTTGGATAAGAGAGAGAAAATGATGAACTCGTATGATGAGTAGGGCCTGATGTCCTGATATGAAGAGGTAAAAGATACAAGGGCATGAAGAAATTAAACAGATATAAAATAAATAGAGTAATTTAGTGAAACATAAATATTGAAAGAATAAAATTAAGAGTGGAAAATGGTGATATGACAAAATAATGAGATAAATTTAAGAATAAATAAAAAGAATAAGATATGGATAAAACTAAAATAATATAACAGTCAAACTGAGGCATGTGGTAGTGTAGTTGGTTGAGGCACTATGCTACAAGCCAGATGGTTGTGGTTTCAATTCCTGATGAGGTCATTGGATTTTCCAATTGACCTAATCCTTCCTGCCACACAATGACCATGGGTTCAACTCAACCTCTAACAGAAATGAGTACCAGGAATCTTCCTGGGGGTAGAGGGCAGTTGGCGCATAGGACTGGCAACCTCACAGCCATCTATGAGCCGATTCTCTAGAAAATATGAGAGCCTTGACATCCCACAATCATATGGGCCTCCATATCCTGTTCCAGGCATAGCTTTACCTTTTTTTTTTTTTTTTTTTTTTTAACAGTGAGACTGGAGGCATAGCTTATAGTGGAAAGAAGTGAACAGATATAGTCTGAAACATTAGTGTTTCACTGAACCTGCACAGTCTCAGGATATAGGCTTTTCAAAAAGATTTATTTCTCAGAGTTCTCTTAAACTTGTTTTATCAGTTGCCTGCATGTCATTTATCTATATCCATTCTATATGCACTAGCTGCTCAATTATTGGACCTTTTCATTTCAATTTATTTTTGTTCATCAGATCTACATTTGGTGATAGCACCTCCAGATATAGAACACGTCAAAGCCCAGGTTACAATAAAATTAATCCTGAGGACAATGTCATAAAGATATTACAACATATTTACAACCATTGTTGCAATAACTATTGATACAATGATTGATACATTGTTATAATTAAATATAACATATATATAACACATTGCAACTTATTATCATAATAAAATACATATTAACATTGTCAATAATAGAGTAAAAGCATATCAAAGAATTATAGGTATCCTACAATAAAAGTTTTAAAAATGACTAGTGTTGTTTTATTTATCTGTAATTAACACAATCATCCCTTTTTTTCCATTCATAATACTCATCTAAAGAATTCATTCATAAAACATTCATAATGTAAATAGATTATAGATGTATAATTCCTATCTAATGTCTGTATCTCTTAATCTATCCACTCTTGTCACTCCAGTGGCTCATCTAGGAATGTCTTGTTGATTATTTGGAATTTACTTTTATCTGTTGTTGTCACAGCCCAATTGTTTTTCCCATATAATCTGTTTATAAAAATAATGAAAACAATTCTCAGGATGTACTTAAACCTGTTCATCTAAGTAATGTGAAAAGATTCAGTTCTGTCTCACAGAAAGCACTGTGTCTCCCTTACAAAGACCAGTCAGTTATTACCATTAGGTAAGTAATTGCTTTTTATTCTCATAATCAAATGTAACACATAAATACACTGTGTGGGCAAACACATGTTAAGTGGTATATATACTTGTAGTAAGCAATGTGCCTAAAAGAGTTAACCATTTTTTAGGCACTACTGAAGATTTCCTCGGCATTTCTCAATAGAAAGATTCCCAATATTCCGGACATCAAAGTTGAAGGTGGAGAAGAAAAATGGTAAGTTTTCTGCAGGAATGATCCTGTGATGTGTCTTGATAGAAAGCCATGAAATATGTCATGCATTATACCGAATTCTTCAGGAACATGTGGAATGTGTGGCGCACGGTGCTGGAAGAGAACGAGAAGCTTGCTCGCGCACGTCTCGCTGCTGTTGAAGTGTTCCACCAGCAGATTGCAGACGATGCCAAAGTACTCAAAGCACACAAAGTTCAGACTGCACGAAAGGTAGAACATTTTCATCTTCTAGCACATGAGACATTTGTTCAGTTTATGTGGTCCTTGACCTTTGCAAGGAAGGTTGTATGGACACTGAGTAACACTCCAACCAATCACATCCTTCGGATGCACTTGAGCAAGATCGGAAATAGAAATCCACGGCATGTTACAGCAATAACAATGCTATCTGCACACCACCACACACCTGTAACATACATACATCAGAAGTACAGAGATGAGAGATTACAAACAAAGCAACTTGTAATATCCATCAACAGCAAAGTATGCAATATTGCATGCAATTTTTCTAACTCTTCTCATTGTTTATCACCTGTTTTTTCTGTTTGATCTCATACATTGATGGATAACATTGAAGACAGAAGCACGTACATCTGACTTAAAAATATGTCCACATGAATCCCACTGCTACCCAATATTAATATTATTATTACTTTTGCATACTAATCTGGTAATATTTTAGTATTTAATATATGTGGGGCAATCCAAAAGTTTCTGAAATTTGAATTTTGCGCGCGAATGGTTATAAGTACATCAAAATACTGCAAGGTGTCTCCTCACACATCCTCCTTGAATCAGTGTGGCAAGCGGCATTGAGTTGAGTGGTTGGGTTTATTGTTGGTGAACGTATTTCCATTGTTGTGTTTCTGTGTGTTTGTGGTTTTCTGATGGCTGACCTGAGAGAGCAGCGTGTCTGTATAAAGTTTGTTTCAAACTTTGGAAAACCGCTGCAGAAACGCACCAAATGTTGAAGCAAGCTTTTGGTGAAGACAGTTTAGGCCAGACACAAACTTACAACTGGTGTAAGCGTTTTAAAAATGGCCGAACATTGACTGATGATGACGATCGTTCGGGATGGCCGTCAACAGGCAAAACACCAGAAAATGTCACGAAAGTTAGGGATCTGATTCTGCAAGATTGTAGACTGACCATCCAAGACCTCTGTAACACCTTGGGACTAAGTTATGGTACATGTCAACGAATTTTGTCAGGGGAACTGAACATGAGAATTGCAGCGAAGTTTGTGCCACGACTGCTGCAAAATGAACAGAAGCAGCATCACTTGGAAGTCTGCAGGGAACTTCAGCAACAGCTTCAAGAGGATCCAAATTTCTTTCAAAGGTTGTCACTGGTGACGAAAGTTGGGTTTATGGCTACGACCCTGAAAGCAAGCAGCAATCGTCGCAATGGAAGAGCCCTTCTTCACCTTGGCCAAAAAAAGCTCGACAAGTCAAGAGCAACATTAAGTCCATGTTGATCTGTTTTTTTGATATTGACGGGATTGTTCATAAGGAGTTCGTCCCTCCTGGTCAGACAGTCAATAAAGAGTTCTATCATGATGTTCTAAGGCGTTTGAGGGAGGACATGAGGAGAAAACGTCCAGAGAAGTGGCGCACGAACAACTGGGTACTCCACAATGACAGTGCACGACCGCATACAGCTTGCATTGTGCAGGAATTTTTGGCTAAAAACAAGATGGCAGTTGTTCCCCACCCACCGTACTCGCCAGACTTAGCTCCATGCGACTTCTTTCTCTTCCCCAAGATGAAAATCAAGTTGAAGGGGCGAAGATTTGATACAGTTGAGGAAATTCAAGCAGAAACGCAGACAGTACTAAACACCCTAACAAAGAAAGACTTCCAGGATGCATTTGAATAGTGGCAGAAACACTGGAATCGGTGTATGCGCTCCCAAGGGGGCTACTTTGAAGGTGATGGTGCAGAATAAGATCTAGGTAAGATGTAATAGTTGTTATTAATATACTTAGGGAACTTTTGGATTGCACCACGTATATTACAATAATAATTTATACCCACATATAGTATGTGTACATTAATAATTTATGTTACATATTAAAACTTTTTTTTTATTGGATTCAGTTCTCAATAAGGCACCTTTCAGTAATACAGAAGTTGATTAAGAAATGTTTTATTTACAAATTATATACCACCTGGTTATGGAAAATATGATGTAAACATATCATAGCCTTTAAATAATAAATAAATAACTGCTGACATATTCATCAATTAATTATTGTGTGGATAGTAAAAGCAGTTTAGACTGTGTTAACCATTTCAGTGAACTGTCTCTCAGTGTCATGCATAGTCTGTGAATGATCATATCAGTTGTTTGACACAGGTGTGTGTTATTAAGATCCTTGTTTCCAGTCAGTGGATCAGCTTGTGGTGATTCAGAAAGAGCTGCAAACATGTGTCCAGGATGTTGACAAGACCAAGAAGCTGTACTTTGATGAAGAACACAGCGCTCATGATGTGAGAGATAAAGAGGAGAAGTGAGTTGACAACTTGGTGGCTTCAAAATACAAGTATTCCTATTTGTTAATTCACTGTTGACTTTCATATCTTCATTCCATCTGGATGTGCCTTAAAGAAGCTCTGGTTGACAGACATTATTTCACATTTCTGTATTCTGCTGGTAAATTAAATATGCCATGATTGGAAGATAAATTTAGGAGTATAATAATTATAACATTAAGCTCAATATCATTCCTTTCCATTTGATATAAACAATACAAATATTAATACAGTTAAATACAGCTAATTAGGACAAGCATATCGTCAGATTCACTCTTGAAGTCTGCCATTTTCTGGAATGTAATGTGATATAGTCTTGTAGAAGTCCACCAGTGTGGAATGTACTCCTTTCATTTTCAGTGTTAAAGAAGCCAGCAAGATTGCTTGCCACCCACTCCTTTGATTTTTTTGTGTGCCTTATTCTTCAGCCATGAAGATGGAGCGCTATGTTCCTCAGAAATTTGTAGTCACCACTGTGAGAACCTCTTATCCAACAAGTTCTGTCCTGTTTACAGTTTATTTTGTTATGCATTATGTGTTTCTGACTTTCTAGGAAGTCATCATCAGTGGTATGGTTTAATTCATGAGAAAACTATTGCTCTATTTTGTAACTCATGTCTGCATAATTTGTTATCCTTAAGAAAACAATAAAATAAATTATGAGCAAAAGAAAACTTGGCAATATACATATCCAGATTGGTTGCATTGACACTGATAATATTATTTATTACAATTTAATAATTTAACATTTGTGAGTAGGTATAAAATAAAACTACCCCATGATTAGTAACCTCTCCCTGCTTCCTTGTTGCAGGCTAAAGAAGAAGAAGGGTTCATTCTTCCAGTCAATAACTTCATTACAAAAAAACAGTGCAAAGGTAAAGCTTTGATTGCTGTGGTTACTGGTCTTTCAGTGGGTAAGCAAAACACAGTGGTCTCTGTGCTTAATTAAACACCACACCATGAAGATATATGGAGGAGTGGAGGTATAGCTCCATGAATTCTTAACCTCATCATTAGACGGAAATGAATGGTCAGTTTCACAGCCAAGTCATTTCACTTCTTGGGATGAGAACCCTTTCCTTGGATAGGAGGCTGGGTGGGCTGCAGTCAGTTTGATCTCTGTGGAAAAGAGAATAATCTCTTCCACCTGCTGAGATTTGAACTCCGATTCCCCTGAAGTCCAGCTCTGGCCTTGTCACCCTGCTTCTTCTCTTCCTTCTTCCCACAAAAATTTATTTCCTATTTCTTTACAGCCCTTTCCTCTTTTATTGATATCTTCAAGCTCGTGGCTAAACCATCTAGTCCATGAAGAAAGCAGTCTTCTGGGATGTGGCGCTGTGTAGATATTGTATTAACTGACGTTTCGGAGGAACACATTGCCTCCATCTTCAACGTAGAAGGGAAAAGAAGAAAATCCGTGAATGAGGAACTAGCATGAACAAGTGCTAACAGCCTAATGTTGAGAATTTTCTTCTTTTTTTCTTCTACTCTGAAGATAGAGGCGATACATTCCTCCAAAATGTCGGTTAACACAATATCTACACCGTGCCACATCCCAGAAGACTACTTTCTCCATAGTCACTGCCGTGAAAACCTCAAATCTTACATCTAGTTCATGCTCGTTCAACTTAAATATTAAAACCTTTCTCAGTGTCTTTGTTTTAGCCGTTCTTATAGCTAAACCATTGTAATACTGTCAAAATGATTAAAAGCGTCAGGAGGGAGGACAGATTTGTAAAAAGAAAACACGGACAAATACAAGAACTGCGGACTGGAGCATTAGTCATTGTATGAATTACCTAAGTAATGGAAACAAAAAGAAAGTTGTAAAGCAAATTTAACAAAACCTTACAGCACACTCAGTAAAAACATGCAAAGTCACAAGCTATGTAATTGTAAACATATGCATTGACATGGAAGTGCTTAAAGGAAAGCAGGAGACATAGGTGTCCCACAGGATATTTTCATAAGGTATTTCCAAAGTGTTGGGTGTCTTGACGTACTTTGACTGCCCCATTTGGAAATTCATAAGGTATACCTGTGTGCTCCTGTGTACACAATGGGCATGAGATTGGAAGCTGTCACGGTAGTGTATATGAAGTTTATTGCTGTGTGGTATGTGATGCAGCATAGACTGTTAGAAAGGTGCCAACGTTTCAGTGATCCTACTGCCTCCCATCTTCAGGGCAGAACAAAGTGTGCAGGATCAATCAATCAATCAATCAAAAGTGAGGGTACAGATATAGGGAAAGGAGGAAGATAAATAGAGATGTGAATGGGCCCCTTATTAGGATCTGAACTGCTCAGAGCCTTGTTTCTTTTTGTCCTGTGCCTCATCTTCTCATGAAGCTTATGCTTTTACCCTGAAGATGGAGGCAGAAGATTGCTCTTATATCACAGAATAAAGAATTGTGTGTGCTAATGAACCTTCCAATTCCTTGGAAGGTGGAAATTTCTCGAAAAGTTGGGTGACTTTTAACATCTCAAAGTCTCAGCTGTATGGAAGTAGTTAGCAGACTCTTCATGCCATGGAAGAAAAACATGTTCACTTGCTGAAAATTTCGAACACACACATAGATGGTTCTTACATGCTGTTGTGCAGGTTACTTCAAAACGTGAGGCTCTAGAAGAGAAGTCCACTGGTGCTCGAAATGACTATTTGTTGAGCCTTGCAGCTGCAAACGCACACCAAACACGTTACTTTGTAGTGGATCTCCAGTCTACGATGCAGGTAGGCTGTCAGCTTGTTTGCTTTATGTGTCAGCAAATCTCCAGGTGCAGTTTCTCAGAACATATTATATTTACTTCTTTTCTTTTGACATGATTTTAAATTTGCAAGAGTCACATGCTCTCGTCTTCTTATTGTATGAGTCTACTGTTCACACTTCTGTGTGCTGCACTTTTATTCTTGTGTCAGTATCAACTATTATCAGTTTATATGTATGTAGCGTGGCGTGCTGGGAAGAGAAGAGGAATTCATAAGAGTTCAGGTAAGGAAAACAGAAGGAAATAGACCACTAGGAACACCTAGACATAGATGGGAGGGTAATATTAAAATGGATCAGAAAAATGGGATTTGGTGGTATGTACTGGATTTATTTGGCTCAGAATGGAGACCAGTGGTGGATTCTTCAGAACATGATAATGAACCTTCAGGTTCTATATAATGTTGGAAATTTCTTGATTGCATGAAAGACTCTTGAATTCGCTAGGAGGACTTGATGGAGCTAATCAGGTAGTTATTTAGTTATGATTTGAAATGTCATTAAAAGTGAATGGAAACAAAAAAATGGCACTAATGAGGAAGGGGCATTTCAAAGTTAGTTAATGCAGGGCATTTAAAAATTGCATTCCACAATTTCAGGGGCTCACTTCTTAGGGGTGTAGAATGATGGCAGTAACAGTCTTCAGATATCAGAACATGACTTACAGAAACAAAAATAAGTGTCAAAAATTGTCCATTTGTACTCAAATTTCAGTATCCTCCTTTTAACATTCTGAGAAAAACAGTTAAAAGACTAAAGCAGCATGAAATAAAGAATCAGAAGAAGAAACGAAGTATTTTTGAAAAGCTGAATTAGGTTATGTGACAAAAATATATTTTTCATTAAATTTAATTATATTTGCAAATGGAATTTTTGCAGATGATGGAGAACAATGTTTATGACAAGGTTGCTGAGTACCTGATGCTGATTGGACGTACAGAACTGCTCACGTGTTCAGCGACACAAACTTCCTTCACAAGGATCCGGGACCAAGCTCAGCAGGTGAGAGGGGCACAACAGGTTTACTGTATGTAGTATCACTTCAACCTAAGCGAGTCAGTTCAAGCAGTAAGACTTCTGACTTGCATTTGGGAGAGGCCTGTTTCAATCCCAATTAGCATACCAACTATCCTGAATGAGTTTTTTCATGGTTTTCTTCAGTCTGTCCATTTCAATTGCCAAAATGCTGCCTCAGTATAACCACTGCCACTTCCAGATCCTTTCCAGTTCATCAGTCATCCTAGTATTTGATGATATATAGACTAGACACTATAATGTCATAAAATAAACCATAAAATATAATCAGAATTGGCACGCCCACCTTAAGAACAGAAGAACAATAAGTTACTGAGCTTTTGTCCATGGTTTATGCTGACCTTCTTACAGTGTATACACTTTTTCACCTTATTCTTCACTTCCACACTACATGTTTCAGCACTAATGTGCCATCTTCACATGTCTTTATGCACGTTAAACTATTGTACTGCATGCCACAATGTCTCCATTCTAAAATGACTAAAATCTGTGTTCGTCATATAGGACGATGAATTCTAAATAATAAAACTTTTCAGGATTCTTCCTACGTCGCACTCACTCAGTGTAACAGGACGCTAAAATATAACATTACTGAGCTTTGTTAAATAAACAACGAATAGTATATGGGATTTGGATTTGCTATCTTCTGAGATATAACGCCATGTAGTCTGTTGAAAGTCAACTGATGATTCAATGGAGCATATCGCCTTCATCTTTATGGTCAGAGAATAAGCTGAGCATAACCACCTGCTTTCACTCTGGTATCTTGCTTGGCTTATTCTTTGGCCCTGAAGATGGAAGCGATATGTTCCTCCCAAACATCAGTTTTTCCTTTCAGCAGACTACACACCGTCATATCCCATTCATTGAATGGTATCTCAGTGTCCCCATTGTGTGTTCCAGCTAACACGAGACTACAATCTGCAATGTGTGTACCTGTTCTACCCAGTGCTCAAGCAGCACATCCAGTATGAATTTGAACCATGTGATAATGATACCATTGATAAGGTGACGGCAGACCATGCTTCCGCTGTCGTCAGTCTGAGCAAAGAAGCCAAACGCTGGGCTGCTCGCATTGCACGGGAGACAAACAACATTCGGGAGTACACAAGGAAACTGCAAGTCTTCCAGCAGCTGAGGGACTCAGGACAGAAGGTGATGTATGATATGCAGTCAAATATTGAATTTCTTGAGAAATGTAGGACTTGAGATTCTTGCAGCAGTGGTTATGAAGAAGTCTCTCTTGCAGAATATAACACCATGTATTTCATTGCAAATGAAATGATGTTTCGGGGAAGAAGAATAAGCCAAGAAAGAAAGCAGTGTGAGTCTCTTTGCCACCTGCTTTCATGCTGATTGCTTGTTTGGCTTATTCTTTGACCCTGAGGATGGAGGCTTATTAGTTCTCCAAAATGTCACTTGATTTTCAAGGGAGTACACTGCATTACACCACAGGAGATAGAGCTCTTCTTGCAAAGTTTTTGGATATTACAGTCACAGATAGAGCACTGATGCATGCACTTCTTCTTTCATTCCAAAATTTTTCTTTCTTTATTTCTTGTCTGCTCTTTCCTCATTTCTTAATGTCATCCAGTATCGACTAAACCATTTTCTTCTGAGTAGTACCATAGGAGACCTTTGAATTCTATTATCATCTCAGTTCTTCAGCCTGTAATTCCTTCTCACACAGTCAAACCGTTGTAGTTATTTCTCTTGTATTTTGAATCCCTCCAGGGAATAGGATCTCAAATTAGGCCATGATCACTTCCTTTCACAGCCTTCTGAATTCATTATTCACTATCATCCAATCATTTTAGACTGTATGGTCTGAGTTACTGGCAACATCATTAAATAAACTGCAAATAAACGAATAAAATAATATACATAAATATATTTCTTTCCATTAATCATTTGACAGTTGAGTCTCAGTTGTTTTTACCTGCCAATGAAACATTTAAAGGTTTGTCAACCCACTTTTCTCCTTCTTTCTGTTCAGTTTCATTGGTTCTTAGTTCACCTTTTGAACGTGTTTCTCTCTTCAGATAGATCCAAATGATCAGAATGGACCAGATCTGGAAACTAAAATTGAAGAACTGAAACTGGGAATTAGGAGATCGGAGGTCAGTAGACAAAATGCATGTCCATTTCACAAAGACAGTCATTAATGTTTGGGAAGTAACCACAGTGTCTTGTTTCCAGACAGGAAAGCTGAAGGCTGAAGCTCGGATAGAATATCTGCGAGCGGGTGGAGGTGAGTGCAAAAGAATTGTATGGTAGTGCCACCCAGAGTTAGTGAGAACTAAGTTCTGTTCCTTTCTTGCAGTCAATGTGGATGAGTGGATGCAAGAGGTGGACAGTCTTAGCGTGCAGGACATCCCCCGCTCAACCAGCTCGCTCTCTATCCGCACTGATGCCTCTGGAGCAGGGGTCTGTTGTTCTTTTCATATTTTGAACTAATTCACTGGTACAGAATATTCTTCTAGCACTTAATGTATACTCAAGAAATTCTGTGTTTTTATGAGATTTGAAGCTTTCAGGGTGAATTAACTGCATTAAAATCATGTTAAATGGTCAGCTATGTGGATGTTGATTCAGAAACCAATGTTTTGGAGACCTGCCTCATCTTCCTCAGGGTAAGCCATAACGGAGGGGAGAGAGTAGATTTCCGAAACAATGATTTATATCTCAACTTTGATCTGGCTGATCATGTGAGAGGATTTATTGTTCTACTTTGTCATGAAATTATCACTATGGTTCATTCCTGTTCAATTTAAAGCTTTCTGATAATTGTGTGGCACATTATTTGAAAGTGTTGTTTTGGACTTCGTCCATCATTTCAGTTTTATATATCTCACCTCTGATGAGTGTTGATGCCCACAGCTGGAGAAAAGCTCTACCAAGGGCCAAGGGGCCGTACCATAGCTCAAGCGGTTAGTCGCTGGCTTCCCACTGTGGTGGCCCATGTTCAACCCCAGGTCTGGTCAAGTGGGATTTGTGGTGAACAAAGTGACGCTGGGGCAGGTTTTCTCCGAGTACTTCGGTTTCCCCTGCCAATCTTCATTCCACCAGTTGCTCCACAATCACGCTCACCTATCATCTGGGGCTGGTACAATAGGCCAGAAGTGGCTGCAGTACAAGGGACTTAGTCCCACCCCACTAGCATTAAAAAAAAATGCCCAAGAGGCCAGTTCATCTGAAGATGGAAATAGAACCAATTTTTTAAATGTTTCAGTAAACTTTTATGATAAGAGCCCAAAATAATAGTTCTTCAACAGTTCACCAGTTACTGTAATGTACAAACTTAATATACTTACCCTGCTGTGCCCCCAGACTGACAATATTTTATATAATTTAATATTGTCATGGAAGTACTTTCTCTGGACCAAACAGGTACATGTATGTCTGTGGTTTAAAAGTAAGATACTTCTTCTTATTAAATATAAGTAGGTAGGATATTAGTAGGGTGTCACATGAAATGTGTTTAGTATCACAGTACTATTGTAACCTTTCCCATCACAAACATTCACTGAAATTCCTTAGTCTTGTTCATTCTTTCAGTCCAACTTTCTAATTTGTTTTTATCCTTTATCTTTTTATCGTATCCACCCAGTACAGTAAAAGATCTGCCAGCTAGTGACAGTTTTGAAAACTAAGACATGACTGATGTAAATGAATGGCAGATATTGGGGATGTATTGTATTCAATGTGGGAAGGTAGGAAGGCAGCCACAGTATGTGTTGGAAATGGAAATAGAAGTGAATAGATCCCATGTACTTATCTACAGAGTGCTTCACTGTAAGGGAACTATTTCCAGTGACTTAAGACATAAATATTGTTCAGAACAGTAATATATATATAGGAACAAATCTGTGAGCCTTCATTGTAATAATTTCCGTTCACTATATTTTGATCATTCCCTGGGGCTTGTTTTACTGATTGTAGAGCATATACTTAGTTCTGCAAAGCTATTTCCATTCCTGTTGCAAGATAAAATTTGAAATGCAGAATATACAAGGGATATTCAGAAAGTAACATTTGGTGAGCTGTTAACAAAACTAGCAATGAGGAAAAAGAATGTTGTTATATACAAAAATATATACAGTCTTAAGCTACTTCACAATAATCACCTCCAGAACTGAGGCACTTATTGTATAGGGGAATAAATTTTTGTATGCCTGTGCCCAAGAAGTCTGCTACCTCTTTGCTGAGACTTGTTTTGACACCTTCCATCAACTCCTCATTACTGTTGGAGCACTGTGATCCATACTAGTTCTTCAGGCAGGCAAACAGGTGGTAGTTGCTCAGTGCAAGATCAGGACTGTAAGGAAGGTGGTAAAACAACTCCCAATTGAACTGCTCCGGCAACGATCAAGTGTGAGCAGCTGTATGCAGATGCACATTGTCGTGGAGGACCACTACACTGTATGTCAGCATTCCTTGCCTTTTGGTCTGAATGGCTCTACACAGTTTTTTTTTTCACAGTATATTTGTGACGTTCTTGTGGTCCCTTGTAGCATGAATTCCACCATCAACATTCCTTTCCTGTCCCAGAAAACAGCTCACATCAGCTTTCTGGCATACGTTTGTTTAAACTTGTTGGGGTTGTTTGGTGAATGTGTGTGCATCCACTGCTTTGACTACTCTGTGGTTTCAAAATTCACAAATAAAAGCCAGGTTTTATCACCTGTTCCTCATACAATGTGATTGAGAAATTCATTGTCATCTTTGTGGTATCGCTCTGAAAAAAGTTAAAGCCAAAACCATTCTCCATATTTTGTGGACACCTGTGAGCATTTTTAGAACACATGTTGCACAAAACTTGTCACTGGCAGACTAGCTTAACTGTAATAATCTTGTAGAGAACAGGGCATGAAATTTTTAGAAATTTACATGAAAGTTCTGAAATTGTAAATTGCTGTCTTTCAAATACTTGTATTTTTTGGTCAACAGTTTGAGCAAGATCATCACTCACTACAGATGAGCAACCACTTCGTTTTTCATCATGAACATTTGTTTGCCTGCCCATCTTTGAACATTCTACACCGTCTTACAGTTCCTTCGCCCATTACATTTTGGCCATAAACATAATTCATGATAGGGTTCCACAGCATCCATGTTTTTAGCATGAAGAAAGCAGTTAACAGCACAAATTTCACAGCTGGCAGGATTGTCAATCACAGGGCACATTGTAGCTCACTCTGTGGGGACAAGAACAGGTGCTAGGTGAACTGTTATGTGATGGTTTACAAGGTTGGGTCATCTGACACTACCTCACATGCATGAGCTCTTCTGTGCTCCTACATTAGTTTCCTAAAATAAACAGAGGTTACTTTCCATATAGCCTTTATATCACTTATTACACAGGAAGGGGTGAAATATGTGAACTGATCAGACAGTATGCATGCTGTACACATTATGGTAACAAAATCCAGAAATATTTAAAAATTTATGTGTTTTCACTCGGGTTCTGTGTAAGCTAATTTAGTTTTGCTGAATGAACTTAATGATAGACAGTTAGTGTAATACTCAGAATTACCAGATTTTTGGACCTTGTCCATTGTCCAGTATTCAAAAAACTAGAGAACATAACATTTCAGAAATTTATCTGTTTCCATCCTCAGGTGAGGGGGGAGATTCCTAACCTTTTGGGTCCTTTGAGTGACTGAGGTTAGCTCTTCTTAAGGGATCCATCAAAGTTGATGTCTCAACCTTCATCTGAGGATTGAAACAGATCCAGTTTCCATAACATTCTGTTCTATAATTCTTTAGACACCAGAGAATGAACTTAATTACTTACTTACTTACTCATGGAGCTGAGCCCTTCTGGAGGAGCCACCAATTCTGCAGCTACTCAAGAATTTCCCAGCATTTTATTGAACCTGAAGGTTCATTTCCATGTTCACAAGAGCCCTCCACTGGTCCCTATCCTGAGCTAGATCTATCCAACCTATACCATCCCATCCTATCTCTCTAAGATCCATTTTAATATTGTCCACCCACCTACACCTTGGTCTTCCCTGTGGTCTCTTTCCTTCTGGCTTTCCCACCAATATCCTATACACATTCCTCGTCTCCCCATCCATGCTACATTACCTGCCCACCTCATCCCCCTTGACTTGATCATTCTAATTATACTTGGAGAAGAGTACAAGTTATGAAGCTCCTCCTTATGCAGTTTTCTCCAACTTCCTGTCACTTCATCTCTCTTCGGTCCAAATATTCTCCTCAACATCTTATTCTCAAACACCCTCAGCCTGTGTTCCTCCCTTAATGTCAGAGACCAAGTTTCACACCCATACAGAACCACGGGCAAAATTATAGTTCTGTATATTCTAATTTTTATGTTTTTGGACAACAGATGAAAAGACAAAAGATTCTGGACTGATTGGTAGCAAGCATTCAATCGCCTCTTAATTTCCTCCTGAATCAGGTTTCGATCTGTTATCGTTGTTACCCTGCATTTTGGTGACGAGACAGTAACATATGCTTAGTTTTCTCTGTGTTTACTTCTAGACCAACCTCTTTACTTGCGTCAATTAAAGTTTGTGTGTTTTTCTTTACGGTATCTATATTGTCACCCAGTAGATTCACATCATCGGCATAGGCCAACAGCTGATGTGTCCCATTTAATTTCAGTCCCATCTGGTTTCCCTGGACCTTCCTAATTGCATATTCTAAAGCAAAGTTGAAAAGGAGTGGC